ATATAAATTGTTGCAATACAAATTATGGCTTGGTTAATTAAATCAATCGAAAGGGCTTAACCAAACTAAATGTAAGCGAACTGGAATATATGTGGAGGCACTACAGATTTGATGCAGGTGTGGAGAGAATCGGGAAATCAAGGGCAGCATTTCTACAGTTGAACAACATCTGGAAGAACTTGAAACAACTGTTAACCAATGCCAAAGTCACAATTTTTAATACAAATGTCAAAACAGTTCTACTGTATGAGGCGGAAAGTTGGAGAACCACGAAAGCCATCATCTACAAGATACTTCTGTTTATTAAACGTTGTCTGAGCAAACGTTGTCTGTCCGTTGGCCAGACATTATCAGTAACAAACTACTGCGGGAGAGAACAGACCAGATCCACCAGCGGGGGAAGAAGCGCTGGAAGTGGGTAAGACACATACTGTGGGAATAACCCGATGACGTCACAAGACTAGCCCTCACTTGGAATCCTCGAGGCCAAAGAACACACTGCGCCGACAAGTGGAGACTAGCATAAGGAGAACGAATAGCAATTGAATAGAACTGGAAAAGAAAGGCGGAGGACAGAGTAGGTTGGAGAATGCTGGTGAGCGACCTATGCTCCATTGAGGGGTTACAGACATAAGTAAGTAGGTAATTTTGAATCTGGCTAATGACATCTTTAAGCTTAAAATGCTACTTGATAGTTTCAGCACTGTTCAGGAGAAATTATCAAGCAAAATATCAGAATGATAGAACTAGTAGTAACATTAGTTGACATGATGACGAAAATCTGTAGCTCAGATGTATGACACTGTTCTGGAGTTTCGTTTTCTGAGCTGGATGTTATGAGGATACACACAAAATAAAGAGGCAGACAACGATAAGTTTAATGTCAATAACATCCAAACAAGAACGAGGTCAACACGACAAGCTACCAGTTGTAGAACGTGAAGAAATTCGAATATTTCACTTATGCTATCTGAAGTTTGTACTGAGATGATAACGTTGTTGTTCAGAAGAAGAATAATGAAAGCTCCACAACCTAAATATCGCCCCCAGCGTGGAGAACGAATCTCCACCACTAAACGTGTCAAACCTCTTTGTTTAGTACCCAGTAACCTCGTAAAGTTAATAAGTTAAGTTCGACAGGAAATATACTTTTTCTTCGAATGCAACCATCCCCACAGAAGAACAGAGATTTAAACAAACGAGAGAGAGATAGAAAAATAAATAATGTTTTAATATAGATTACTACTACTACTACTACTACTGTAGTGAAGGAGAACATCGGTGAGGGAAACCGAATTGTATTTAACGAAAATTACAGAGTTACTCAGTAAAAACGGAAAACCATATCGTAAATCTTTCATTTGCAAAATATCAGTTCATCATATCGAACTGGACTGTTCCTGTTGCGAAACATCAATCCATTGTCACTACTCATGCGTTTCATACAAAAATTCCATTGTTTTCTAACTCTTCCTTTCTTGATCTTTTCCCCATCTTCCGCTGCCACACATTACCTTGACGCTCACTTTATATACCACTTATAAGTAGCTCACACCACACTGCTGCTACTACTACTACTACTGCTAGAGTTTACCAAACAACAACATTTCAAAACAATATCACATGAATACACATATATGCTGAAAGCGAGGGAAGGAGAGAGTGAGGGAGAGAGAGAGCAGAGAGTAACGACTGAAGCACTTATATACTACTATAAACAACACTAATTTATGAATAAACAAGTAGGTAGGTAGTCATCAGCTGATAATACATCAAAGTTTATTTTTTTAGTATCTCTGTTAGTAGTTTATTTTGTTTTCATGAAGAGTGCACAGAAAGACAGGAAATAGTTCAATAAAGAAATGCATGACAAATGTATTCTACATTTATTCTACACACAACAGTGAATGTGTTAGAATTTGTTGACATAAAGCTAAGTTCCACAGTGAAACTGATGCCTCTATAAACTAGATTCCAGTAGTCAGTTACAATGTAAAACTTCGTACGTACATATATCAGTTCACGTTGCTATACCATATTATAGTACACAGAGGTGGAATTGTCAATTCAAATCTCATTGTAGGAGAGGTAGTAAAAGTATTAACAGTAATCGGAGAGATTACGGTTCGACGATGTTATTAAAGAAGTATAATTCAGAGAGATAAACTTAAAAAGCAGAAGATGAAGGTGATGAGGAATTCAGAAGGTTAGCATTTGACAGGACACAAAGAGTGGACGCACCTGTGTCATTGTATACGGTTTTAAGCCATATCGTTCAAAATTTTTAAACATCGGTTACTGTTATCTCGTGGGCCCCCAACATGACTCAATCTACTTGTCAGTGACTTCATGGATTTGTGCCATGTTTTGGTTTGGCCGCCCCTAGCTTTCTTCCAACCTACTCCTACACCACAAAACATAAGTCCGACTAAATGAGACAGTAAGATATCAGATAGACAGGAATAGATGACTGCGTCACTTTGTTGTCTTTCCCTGAATTTTAACTAAATTCACTCAAATTTTCTGAAATCTTATCTTCGATACGCGTTGGTTACTTTGATCACTGACACTATTAATACTTATATTATCGGCCTGCGATTTAATCGCACAATTTCATCTGTCTGCTGTGCTACTGCAGTATAGGCCAATTGGATCGATGTACATACGTCCTGACGTTCTACGTTGTAACTGACTGACTGACTGACTGTTCGAGAAGATTAGTATTTCACACAGATGTTGTATATAGTGTTGCATGTAGTGAGCTGGATGATTTGGCGTTTCGGAAGCAACAGGGATTCTTCCTGTATTACTACAGTGTTGTGTACTACTTACAATGGAGCTTATAAGTAGTATGCAGTGGACATGCAGTCTAGTGTTACCCTAAAGTTACGGATGAACTGAGAGCTGCCGGATACAGATTTACGGCGCGATCTGGATGTCTGGAGGAATATAAGACTTGCTTACACTATGTGATCTACCGTCTTCTTTGATCTGACTGGGTTAAGCTCCATAACTTCACTCAGTGGTCAAAAATGTTGGTAACCGTAGGTAGATATATAGATAATAGCTAGCAATTGAATCAAAGAGGATTTGAATACGGTAATCTTCACTTCAAGTACCAACATGTTATTGCTGGCTAAGCTACTACTACTACTACTACTACACATATACTACATCAACTGAACATCAATAGTATTGATTTATATAAACAATCAATGAAACGTTTTTAATTACCTTCGCTTCAATATCAGCACATTTTTGTTCTAATTGTTTTAATTCCAATGTTAAATTACACGTTTCTCTTGCTTGAAAAATTGTACGTGATTCAAGTAGTTCAGTGACACGTTTATCTAAACGATCAGCTCGACGATCAGATAATTCTTGTTGTACAGTTAAATCAGTAATCTAATGTTAAATATTAGAAAAAAAAATTGTTTTTGTTTTTTTGGTGGTTATTGTTGTAATTCATAATATCAAAAAAGTAACTCAATAATCTACACAACTCTATAATGCGAACTAACTGTTCTTACAAGTGACTAGCACCGTGAGGAAGCCTTTCCGAGTTCTAGCGAGAAGTTGTGACCAGTGGAGTTCAACTTTGTTCGGGTTTGAAACAATTGCTCACCGAAGATAGTGGATGGAGGTTGTGTAAGACCATAAATTTATTGGAAGTTAGACATTAACACCATTAGATACACCGGTTCAAAGGTTCACAGGTTAGGTGTTCTTGAGCAAGACCGAAGGTCCTTGGTTTGAATCCTGCGACGTTCAGGAGTTGTGGGTACGCACAGCCATTGATGAGTAGTCCCATACACTAGAACTCCGCCCGGAGCACCTCTGGGGCCGATTTCAAGCCCAGAAAAAGCAGGAGGGATGGGCATGGGGTTGGCGACCACATCCTGTGGTGCGAGCTACTTATAAGTAGTATATGACGTGAGTGTAAACGTAATGTGTGGCAGCAGAAGATGGGGGAAGATCAACAAAAGGAAGAGTGGGGGGAACACAATGGAATTTGTATGAAACGCATGAATAGTGACAATGGATTGATGTTTTGCAACAGGAACAGTCCAGTTCGATAATATGATGAACTGATATTTTGCAAATGAACAATTTACGATATAGTTTTCCGATTTTACTGAGTAACTCTGTAATTTTCGTTAAATACAATCCGGTTGCCCCACCTGTGTTCTCGCTCACTACAATCCAACCAAAAATACTAACTCGCTAAAAAAACGCTAATCATAACATAACCCATACACGAAGACGAAACGGCTGTCTGTCGGTGCTTTCCATACATGTAGGTTTACATGTACATATATATTGTAGGTTTAAAGCTACCAATATACGATTTGTAAGAATTCGGTTGGAGTATGAAACTCTGGGTCATCCATTTGAGCTATGCATTTTCTCCACCATCTCAAAACTGGTTAATAGTCTGATGGATATTTGAAGCGTTATATGTACCCCTTCTATTATTATTCATTGTCAGTTATTGTCCGAGATCGTTTACGGTCGACCTGATACACATTCCTGTCAAATAAGTCACGCGTGTTCTTAAGCTGAATTGTGTTGAAGTTTGGCAGCAAGGTATCTGGTGTAGAATGAGCGGACTGTCTGGGTATTTTACCATTAAACTAAAGAGAAATCCATGTGTTATCACAGGTGTTTGAAACAAAAATTATTTCAAACGAAGAGTTCCATTTAACTAATGGAATTCAGACAAGCGCTTATAAGTTGCTCACTATAACAATTATCAAGTATATTAACTGATGATGAATGATCAGGTTTGTGAAAGAATTTTCAGAGTCTTAGTGACTAGTGAAGTTTAACCGTGTCGAATGTAGTCGGGTGTTAGTTACCCACTGAACACGCTAGATGATGGTCAAGCAATATCGTGAGTTTGCCGTAGGATAAACGTTCGTGCGCATTATCGAAAGTTCGAAGAGTTTGATTTCCACTTATGATGTGATGGTTATGCACGAGTGATGAGTTCTATACTAGGACAAAACAGGTTTCTGATGGTAGTCTAACATTGATTGGTTCGTGATTTCAATGAAAAGATGATTGAAATTAAACTGTCACCAAAAAGGTTTTAAATCAAATAGGTAGACTGATTATTTTTGCCAGTAACGTTGAACAATAAAAGAATGTATAACTTGTACTTATCGCACATATTAATAGTTACATTACTTACATAAGCCTGTTACTCCTAATCGAGCATAATCCGCGAATTATTTTTACTAGTTACCGTACATTTTTTTAGCGAGCTGCATGCATTCCTTTCTACAGGATGAGGTCGCTATCCCTATGATCAACCGTTCCACCTTATTCCGACTTGATACCAGCAACAACCCTAGGAGGGCTTTAGGTGTAGTTCATGTTAGGATATTCATCCAATATCCTAAGAGAATTATTGGTCATTTCCTATTGATTAATTCCAACGGGTCAATCTTATAGTCGCCCTGACTATCAATGTCACTTCAAATGTTACTTCCTATTGGTCGTCTTAACTGTTAATGTTACAGACTTCGATGCTGTTTCCTATTCGACCAAAATGTATAAATACGCATTATTTGTAACGTTTCATGACCACGACCAGGGCTCGGTCCCGGATTCCTTGTCCGAGATCCTGATTCTCTTCTGGATTCGGACCTCGTACTTTCTGGATGTTTGTAGAATACAGGTTCTACTTCACATTCAAGTCTTCTTATTTTTACTCAATATGGGGGTTGGGATAATCGGATTGTAGAAGCATATCGTGTCGCCGGATCCTCGATCCTCGCTCTCGTTTTCCGACTAGGTAAACTCATAATAGTTCAAGTATATCAAGTTGACGTGCTTACATGCAGGCGTAACAGTTCAAACGTTAGTTAGTTAGAAAGAATTCATTCGGAGTTTGTTCATAGACGAAAGTGATTATATAAATCTATGAATATAAACAGTGTGTGGTATAGTCAGTAATATAATCTAGTATGAAGTTCTTTTTTCCAATGTATGTATATTGGGATACTCTACCTAGGTGCCGAAAATGAAGCAGCTGATCGACTTGGAGAGCCATCCATTGAGACTTTCATTTACAGGTCTAATCCATAAGGTAGTGCAGCAACATCAGTAGGTGTGAACCCAAGGTATCCAGCCGGTAACCGAAAATAGGTTCATACATTATTTGCCGCGTCAGGACATTGGAGCTGATACACACCGTTGGTTTACAACCGGAGTTTTCCAACTTACACTTAGATAAACTCGCGGTATCGATCAATACGATCAACGAACTGGGAAATTCGCTTTTTGTCCTCTCAACCCTGTCACGAGACGGTAGTAAGTAGAATCTTCCATGTCAATGGATATGCACTTGTGTCCCCACATGAGAGCGTATGCAGAGGAGGGTGGACTCTTTCGACTCTTAGCTACACTAGGACATTCCGGGGGGTGGGTTGTTTTAACAAATAATCTGCCAGTCTACCATTCACATTCTTTCAGAAGAGTAATCAGTTGAGTGATCTATATCACTATTCTTATTATCAATCCCTTGGATCAAGGTTTCGCAATATTCAACCCTTGTCCGAAAAACTATACCTGTAAACCTTGAGGGAATTTGTTTATGATCGATGACGGATTCGATGCCATATCGTCAAGTTTCACAGTCGGGGAGGTTACCACTGAACTAAATCAGGTAGTAGCTGACTTTATTTGGTGATGAAATGTAGTTAAAACTAATGATTGCATGGTGCGGAAATGCTGATCAACATTTGTCGCGATCAAGTTACCTATGATGTTTTATAAAACTGCATGAGTTTAAACTTGTGACAAAAAAAGAGTTAATCACCTCTGTTTATGAGTAAAAGGGAAAAAAAAGAGAATCACCATGAATAAAATCAATTTTTTTTTCTATACCTGTTGTTTTAAACTACTAATTTGATTGACAAATCGTGTTTCAAGTAGTCGATCAGAAAATTTCATTTTACAATTCATTTCATGTGAACTTTCCAGTGAACTTAAAGAACCAATCCATAGTGAAGAACGTTTCGTATCATTGTTGACACATTTACACTTTCCAAGATGTGCCTGAATTCAAAAAGAGAGGTAGGTGAAAAAGAGATTTCAATTAGAAGAAACAGAACAGAACAAATATAAGAAAAAGAGTTTATGATCATCAATTGGGGAGATCGCGCGAAATCCCTAGATTGATCAGAGTTAGTGTTGGGGATGTCAGATCCCCAAAACCCGCTTGTTAAATGCCTTATTTTGGATTCTACGTTTGCCAGCATAGGCTGATCAGTTGACCTTGAGATTTCAATTCCCACCAGGAAAATCCATGGCTGTGATTGGCTGCTGTGTATTTCAGTGTCTATTTTCTTAACTGTCTCAAGGACGTTCCTATGTTGTATAAATAAACGACAGTTGTACTGTGATTGCTGGGTGTTTGTAGAATATACCTCTACGCTTACAAAGCCTTTTATTTCGACTTTGGGTATTCAAGGTAGCCTACCTGGACGCTGGTAAAAGTCTCGTTCGCGTTTATCGACTAAGATAAACTCGTAATAGCCTCAAGCATACTAGGTGACGAACTTATCAATACCAAGAAGTTGTATGGCTAAATCAATGATCCGTATACGAGATCACGACAGTTATGAGCAAGGAAAATATGGAAGGGTTGCCATTTTTACAACTGAACAACTTCTGTGACTCAAAACAACTGTCAACAAACACTAAAGACAGAATTTTCAATATAAATGTCAAGACAGTTTCACTGTATGAGGCAAAAACTTGGAAAACTACCAAAGATATCACTCATAAGATATAGGTGTTTATCAAGAGTTGTCTATGCAAAATACTTCGTATGCGTTGACCAGACGCCATCAGCAACAATCCACTGTGGGAGAAAAAACAAACTAGATTCCAGTTGAGGAGGAAATCAGGAAGAATCGCTGGAGGTGGATAGGAAAAACATTGAGAAAAGCAATCAAATGCGTCATAAGACAAGCTCTCACTTACAACCCTCAAGGACAAAGGAGAAGAGGAAGGCCAAGGAACACATTACGCCGAGATAGACATGAGAAGAATGAACAAAAATTGGATAGAACTGAGAAGGGAAGACCAGGATAGAGTAAGTTGAAGAATACTGGTCGGCGGCCTATGCTCCTTCGGGGGGAACAGGTGTAAGTGTGTAAGTAAGGGAAAATCCATCGGATCAAGTTGGGATATTTTCCAAAGAATGAGATACATAAATACAGAGAGACAGAGTGCAAATCTTCAATGAACAGTAAGCTTTGTAGATGAAATCAACCAATTCATTTTATTTTACTAAAAGTAAGTAAGTGATAACAACAAGCTAATTGTTAACTTACTTGCCAAAGTGAATCCATATCGTTGAATCGTTGCTTTAACTCTTCCATTTGTTTGATTAATTCCGTTTCACGACGTTTTGCACCGAATAATTCATCTTTTAATATAGCAATTTGTTCAGCTGATCGAAGTGATTGATCGGCTTTTGACTATAGTGTTTAATTTGTAATAATTCGATATTTGTGTAATGTAAATTAAAAAGAAACAAAAAAAAACTCAGTGTATAGCAATCGTTTGTAAAATGGTCAGAATGAAACATACAAGAGATGATCATGAGGGATTAAAACAGATATTTTTTTCATGAGAGGGTTGTAGAGACTATTGAGTTTCGTCTTAGTATGGGATTCATCAGTAATACACATCCACGACTCCTGCTACTTGCGAACCCAGGACCTTCGGTCTTGCGCGCCGACGCTTAACCTCTATATCTCTGAGCCGGCTTCCGACAGTGTTAATGTCTAACTTCGATCAATCCATGAAGCTTCTTGGAGTTCTAGTGGGAAACAGGGACTAGAAGAGTTCAAGCCTATCGGGTTTGAAGCGGTATCTTTCGAAAACGATAGATGAGGTTGCGCAAGACCGTGGATTGATGGAGGTTAGACATTAACAACGTTGGACTCCAGGTCAGTGGTCTAGAGGTTAAGGCCTCAGATACAGGACCGAAAGTCTTGGGTCCGATCTCCACGAGCGCGAGTCGTGGATCCGTATTGCTGATGAGTCCTATACTATGACGAAAAGGCCTTCTTTCAGTGCTTACAGGTTTCCGATATTGATCTCACATTGATTAAAGAATCTATCAAAAACCCTCGCTCTTGCGTGCGAACGCTTAACATCTAGAGCACTGAGTCGGCATCCAACGCGCTATAAACGTGTAACTTACATCGATCCAAGATACTGCATGACTATCACTCCATAATGACAATTATCACTAGTGACTGGATTTCAGACGAATTCTTGGATTTCTGATGAGAAACCATGACCAGACAAGTTCACTTCACGTTCAGTAGCAGACAGCTATCCAACGCAATTACAGAGTGGATCAAGGTTGCAAAACATCACTGACTGGTTCAAGCTGAACATGAACCCCATTGGATGCTGACTCAATGATCTAGAGGTTAAGCGTTTACGCGTGAGATCTCTCCTTATGTGTGAGGCTAATGGATGCCCACAATTACTAAGAAGCCATCTAACAATGATTTTGGTAATCTACCTAAAATCAATTCATGATTGGAATTGTGAGTGTATCCAATTCTGTTTGTATTAAAATACAATACTGTCTTCGTTGAACACTGCTTCACACTTGAACAGGGTTGGGCGCAAGCTGTAGGTCCTGCGTTCAAATCCTGCGAGTAACAGTAGTCATTGAGTGTGCACTGTTCTCGAGTAGCCCCATACCAAGACGATAAGAAAGATATCAGGTGGTGTAAGAAGGCCGTTAAGAGTAGAGGACTTTCGTAGGTTACTAGTCTTCGATCATAGGTGTATTCGAAGCATTGCTCGTGTATCCTAGGACGACCGAGTAAGCAATACCGTCGTTAGGAAACGAGTTCTAGGTGAGGATGGCAAATCAATAGATGAGGCATTGAAACTTCATCAGTTGAGATGGTTGTGACATGTGTTACGTATGCCTAACCACCGACTGCCGCGACAAGCTATGCTTTGATATCTAGGAGTAGGTTGGAAGAAACATAGGGGCGGCAAAACCAAAACATGGCAGCAATCCATGAAGTCACTGACAAGTGAACTGAGTCATGTTGTTAGATGTAGGCTACTTGGTTGAGGTCCGCCAATGGTTAGAGACCTTGAACGACATGGCTCAAAATCGTTTGCAATGGCGCAGGTGCATCCACTCTTTGTGTGCTTTGTAATTGTAACCTTCTGAATTCCTCATCACCTCTATCTTTCTGTTTACAAATTTATCTCACTGAATTGTACTTCTCGAATCATATCTTCGCTACCTAATCTTCTGTATTACTGCTATTACTTCTACTATCGCTATCACTCTTGGATTTAAACTGACAATTACGTCTCTGTGCTGACGTGTGCTATGGCAACCTGAACTGATGCACTTACTTACGTACGAAGTTCTGCGTTGTATCTATCTATCTGTCTGTCTATCCATACCAGTAGGAAACGACCATCTTTCCAGTGCTCCTACATTTCTAACAGTAGTTAGTCTAACATTGATTAATTCATGTCTTCAAAATACACTATACTACTTAACAATAAAAACTTACCTCTTCTAATTCATGCAATTTACAACGTAGCTCATATAAATTTGTTTTTGTACCAGCTTCATCAAAACGTGAATTCATTAAATCTGTTTGTAATTGTTGTATTGTTGTAGATAACAGTTGATCAGTTTTATGTTCATCAACGCCATTCATACTGTTCGAATGATGATATGTTTGATTTCTTGATCTTGGTAATGTACAAAAATCATAAGAATTATTCAGTGATTGTTTTGGTTGTGGTAGATTTGATGAAGGACATAGTGTATTACTATTACTACGATGATTATTATCAGTAGTATTGGTAGTAGTAGTAGTATGAGTAAAATCATGATTATGATTATTATGATTGGTTGGTGTTGTGAAACCATTGACAAGTGATTGGTTGCTGGTAGCATTGATCGTCTGGTTTGGATTTGTGCTAGGTATATTCAAGTTGGATGGTTTATGCAATGCAGTGGCTGTTGCGGTTGTTGTTGTTCCTGAAGTGATGTTGTTAACAGCTGAAGCGGTTTCATGGTCAGTTGATACAAAAACACCATCATCATCATAATCATAGCCATCATCATCATGATGATTATTCAAGTCTATGGATTCCTGTGAAATGAAGAAAATAAAAGACGGTTGTGTGTGTGAAAAACCAAAACCAAACGTAAACTAAACTAACAAAAAGTTGTAAGAAGAATGTAGAAAAAATCTATATTAAAGAGTCAGTCAATCAGAACGTAGAACCTTGTACGTACGTACATTAGTTCAAGTTACCATACCACCATTACATTAGCATATAGATGCAATTGTCGATTCGAATCCAATAGTAGTGGAGATAGTAGAAGTATGAGCAGTAATCGGAAAGCACATGGTTCGAAGATATGATTCAAGAAGTATAATGCAGTAGTAGTAAGTAAGTTGCAACGAAGAACTTCGTACGTATGTACATAAGTTCATGTTGCCATACGACATTAGCACAGAGTCACAGATATCAAATCAAATCCTATTATAGTAATAAAGATAGTAGAGGTATTAATGGTAATGAAGAAGATTAGGGTTTGAAGATATTATTCAAGAAGTATGATTCAGTGAGAAAAGTTTAGAAAGACAAAACTAGAGCTGTTGAAGAATCCAGAAGATTAGGATTTGAGAGAACACAAAGAATAAATACACCGGGGCCATTGCAAACGATTTTGAGCCATGTCATTCAGGGTCTCTAACCATCGATTATTATCATCTCGCGGACCCCAACCAGGTAGTCGACAATTACCGACATGGCTAAGTCCACTCGTCAATGACTTCATGGATTTCTGCCATGTTTTGGTTTCGCCGCCCGTAACTTTCTTACAACCTACTCCTACACTACAAAACAAGGCTCGACGAGGCAGTCGGTGGTTGGGCATACGCAACACATGTCCCAACCACCTCAACTGATGAAGTTTCAATACTGCATCGATTGATCTGCCATTCTTACCTAGCACCCGATTCCTAATAACAGCGTTGCTCACTCGGGTGTCCCACGATATACGAGCAATGCTTCGAAGACACCTATGATCGAAAACCAGTAACCTACGAATATCTTCTACACTCACTGGCCATGTTTCACAGTCATAAAGTAAGACGGTTCGAACTACTGCACAGTACACTAACTCAAAACAACGTTCTGTTAACCAACACATTTTTCAACTAAAATCTCAATACACTTCTATCAGGGGAACCACAAAGGTCATCATCGACAAGATACTGATTATCTGTTGACCAGACACCATCAACAATAACCTCTTGTGAGAAAGAACCAATCAACTTCTTTCAAGTATAACAACAATCGCTGGATATGGATAGGACATATATATTGAAGAAATCAACCAACTGCATCACAACACAAGCCCTCATATCAAAATCCTCACAGCTAAGAGAACAACAACACATGAACACTGAGAATACCAATCAGACATGAGAGCAATGAACTAACTGGTAAAGAAGGCAGTCGAGTCCAGTTGCGCGAATGTTAAATCCACAGTATTTTTTTTTAAATTATCAATCAATGGCCTTGTGGTGCGCGCTACTTATAAGTAGTATATGACGTGAGTGTCAACCTAATGTCTGGCAGCAGAAGATGGGGGGGGGAAGATCAAGAAAGCAGGAAGAGTGGGAACACAATGGAATTTGTATGAAAAGCATGAATAGTGAGTGAAATGTCAGACAATGGATTGAAGATGTGCAAATTAACCGTTTACGATATGGTTTTCCTATTTTACTGAGTAACTAACTTTGTAATTTGTGATATATACAATTCGGTTGCCCTTCTTCACTACAGCCTTATTATATACACACATTTTTTTACATGAAAAGGAATTTTTCTTTTTGCATTCTTTATGATGATATCATCATGATAATCGAATATAGTTAGAGTTGTTTGTGACAGATTTTTTTATTTTTAGAAAAAAAAGTCAAGGCATATTATCATCACCGTCATCATCGTCATCATCATGATCATCGTTATACAAAAATAGAGATAAAAATGACATGGTTATCTCTATAAAAAATAGTTTTAATTGTAAAATGTGTAACTCTATAGGAATCTCAATGCAATCAACAATGTTGTTTTGTAAGTTTAACAATTATTGTACTTCTGTGTACATGTGCACTAGGTGTTGGTGTGTGGGTGTGCGTGTGTGTGTACACATATACATACATACATACATAGTTCAAGTTATGCATTCATGCTTAACATCAAATATTCTGTACAAGCAATTGAATGAATGAATGAATGAATGCGTGTTGTGTAATTGTATAGAGGTCATTTTTTGATTGAGAAAAATAGAAGGAGAAGTAGTAGTATGTAAATTACTGGAATTAGTGTCAGTGTAATCATTGGTATATAATTACTATTATTATTATTATTATTATTATTATTATTATTATCAGTAAGAACAAAAGAAAGAATTAGGCTAACATGAATTTACATTCTTCTGCGTCAGGTTATAATATTTGCATTAATCAATAAACTGGGACTTGATAATTTATACACATTTTAACAGTTGTCTATGCAAAATACTTTGGATTTGTTGGCCAGACACACGATCAGCAACAACCTACTATGGGAGAGAATAAACCAGATTCCAATGGAGGAGAAAAATTAGGAAGAAAAGGTGGAAGTGGATAGGACACACAGTGTGGAAAGCACCTAACTGCGTCACAAGACAAGTAGTCATCACATGGAACTCTCAAGGCAAAAGGAAAAGAGGAAGGCTAAGGAGCACATTACGTCTAGAAATAGAGAAAGATATGAGAAGAATGAACAAACACTGGACAGAACTAGAGAGGGAAGACGATGACAGAATTGGTTGGAGAAAACTGGTGAGCGGCCTATGCAATAGAAATGAATGGAATTTTATTTTTTATTTTTAATGTGAGATGGAATATTTTAAAGGTGACCAAAATATGAAACTGTTGCTGATATGAACGTGGATGTTATTTTCAGGTTGGCCACATTGTGGATGTTTTTCTTGATGTATCTGAAAAGCGATTTGGATTATTAGTGTTGGTCTTAGAGAACTGGGAGCGTGATTGCAGAGTCCAAGTAACAACTGCTTAAGGAGTGTTACGCACACCCTTTTGATGAGAATTTTTATTGAAGTGTTAGCTCGGCTCTTCAAGTGGCCTTACTGCCGGAGACGGAAATCCGTGAGGTAAGGTGAGGTGAGGGTCGACCTTTTCTAATTCACTCCATCCTTGTGAGAAGGCAGCATCGCTGCAGATGCTGGTTGTCCGAGGGAAACACCTTACTGCTGTTACATCCCTCTACAATCGGCAGTACGACTTCACCCTCAGACCTGGAGTAGCTTCTTTCAGTCTCATTATTCTTCAATCAACCTGCCAGACATGGTAGAACCTACAAGGACATATGTTCCAGCCAATATAGTTCAATTGGGTCACTTCGATAGGCAAGCCCGACCATCGCGTCAAGGTAGCAGCAACGTTTGGGACCAAACTAAAGCAGGTGATCTTCTCAGGAGATAACTACATGAATATTTGACCTACAATTTTAATCCACAAGGCAGTAGAGCAACATTAGGGGAAGCACAGTCCTACAGAAACTGATGGTGCTGGTGCTCACCTTTGACTTGAGAATCGGGGGTTTTTTTAACTCCGCTAGGTAGTTCCTGCATACCCATCAACCAGGCTTAAACATTCAATCTAGATCATTTGAATTTCGTGAATAATATCCTTGTTACGAGAAGAGAGAGTGAGTAGGACTTTCCCGTTAACGTTTATATAACGTGGGGTCGTGTAAGAGTATTTATAGAGCGAGAGTGTCAACCTACTTGTAGGAATCAAATCCAGGACCTTCAGTCCTATGAGCGAACACCTAACCTCCACAATACTGAACCGGCGTCTCATGATGTTAGATTCTATTCGTGATCAACCCTTGATATAGCGCAACCTTGTGACTGCCTACTACTCCCGAAAGAGCTGAACGCTGATCAATTTATAATTTAAATGAAACTTAATCATCTCTGAAATTTTATCACGAAAAAAACAACTGATTGATTGTTGTCACGATTGATTTCGTCACTGTTCTCGACGTCTTCCTCAGCTTTATTTCCTCCAAAAGACGTAGAAGAAACTACGTGATTCAGAATTGGAAGCAGATATGAAAAAACAAAGAGGAACAGCAATTGGGTAGGTCAGTCTCCCCAAAGCAGAGTAGGTTGTCGAATACTGATCAGTGGACAATACTCCATTAAGAGTAATAGGTGTGAGTGTACGTTAGTAAGTCGGTGTGTGATTACAATACAACTTTTTGAAACCATGAATCGATCAATGTTAGACCATCATTATAAACCTGGAGGCACTGGACGGCCGTTTCGTCCTGGTATGGGACTACTCAGCAGTGCGCATCCACGACTCCTGCACCCCGCAGGATCCGAACCTAGGACTTTCGGTATTGTGCGCGAACGCCCTAACCGTTAGACCACTGAGCCGGTATCTAACAGTGTTAATGTCTAACTTGATCAAATTCACGGAGTTGCGCAACCTCATACACAGTCTTCGGTAGACACTGCCCACACCCGAACAGGTTGAACTTCACAGTGGTCACGTCTTCCCACTAGAACTCGGAGAAGATTCCTAAAGAAGCTAGTCGTCACAAGTGAGCACAGGTAATTTGCATTACGGGGTTGTGAAGATTGTTAAGTTACACATTTGAAATCATGAATGCGCACTGCCACTGAGGAGTCCCATACCAGAACGAAACGGCCGTCCAGTGCTTCCAGGTTTCTTCTAATGGTGGTCTAACATTGATCATCGATTCATGGTTTCAAAAATGTGTAACTTAACAATTCTCACAGCCCCGTAATACAATACAACTGTCAAGAATAACTTTCTTTTAAAAAACACGGTCATTCTAAGAAGCATCAAAACTTACTGGCATCAATTTATGTTGTGATTCAGTGTTTTCCGTACTATTATCATTATTATGATTATCATTATGATTATGATTGTTATGATCAGTAGTATCATTATCATTGTTCTTCTGTATAGGTGGTGGCAGTACATGAGAATTCAATGTCAAATTTGTATATTCACGTTTTAATATGGCTAGTTCACAACGTAATGCTATAGTGGCTTCAGCTTCTTGTGCTCGAATTAATTGACATTTGACTAAACGATCAGCCATTACTTCACTTTCCTGTTTAGATAAACAAAAAAAAACATGTTTAAACATGTAAACATAGAGAATAACAGTTTGAAAGGAAACATATATATGCATTTTTATATAATTAAAATCAGGAATCGATCAATGATTGTTAGACTAACATTAGAAACCTGCAAGCACTGAAAGACAGCCATTTCGTCTTGGTGTAGGACTCATCAGTGGCAGTGCTCATCCACGACTACCTGCACCGCGCAGGATTCGAACTCAGGGCCTTCGGTCCCATATCAGGAAGAAACGCCAGTCTTTCGGTGCTACCAGGTTTCTAATGATGGTCTAGCATTGACTTAACAATCTTCACAACCCCGTAATGAAATATTTCCTTTGTGTACAACAATTTAATTAGTACATTATAGAGGCAGTTGCTTTAAAACAATAATTTATAGTCATATCATCAAAGCCAGTGAATAATAATAAGTATTCTACAAACTACTCTGTCCCCGGCCTACCATTCTAGTTTTGGTCAATTTTTGTTCATTCTTCTCATGCCTTTCTCTATTTCTTGGCGTAATGTATTTTTTGGTATTCCTCTTTTCCTTTGCTTTGACCTGGAGGATTCCAAATGACGGTTTGTCTTGTGACGCAGATGAGTGCTTTGCTTGTTGTGTTTGTCATCCACCTCCAGAGCTTCTTTCTTTTAAGTATAATCTTATTTGGTGTCGTGTTTTATGAAGATTATCTCGTTTTTATTGATTACGCGAGGTGAAAAGGATACACACTGAAGCAATCACTCAATTGCGTCTCACAAGAAAAGACCTGACTGGGAATCCTCAAGATCAAACAACCTATTACGCAGACGTCAAAAGAATGGAACACCAAGCGGCTAGAACTAGAAAAGAAGGCCCTAGGACAGAGAGTAGGTCGGAGAACTTGTACCTTTTCTACTTATTATAGTTGATGATTTTTCGTTGTGGATGCGTACTGCGCACTGATGAACAGTTCCACATACTAGGATGAAACAACCGTCTACTACTGAAATGCTTCCAAGTCTCTCTAATGGTGATGAACAAATAATGGTCGATTGATAATTTAGAAAAGAATTTCAGTGTAATTAATGACTCGGCAAAAAAATTACCTTGATTTAGTTTAACAATTTTTCACATATCAGACCAATATAAGAAACCTAGAAGCACTGGAAGACAGTGGTTTTGTCTTTAAGTATGCGACTACGGATCGGCAAGGCGCATCCATGAACTTTGGGCTCGCGTGCGAACGCCATGACCAGTGAATTTCAACCCTGTCCAGTGTAGCCAGTAACTACTGCAGACAGCGAGTGCGGGTGAGCAATATCAAGGATTGATCAAAGTTAAATATTAACACTATTGGATGCCAGTTCAATGGCTTTTTATACGTTGAGCATTCACGCGTGCGACCAATTAAGGTCCTGAATTCGATTCCCACAAGCGATGGTCATGAGCGCGCATTGCTGATGAATAGTAAGTAGTCTCATACCACGACGAAACAGCTGTCTTTCAATGCTTCAAGGTTTCTTCACTGGTGGTGATCTAACAAAGACCACTTCATAATTTCACTGAATATATGCGCTGCTCTAATATTCACAATGCGAATATCTTTCAATAGATGAATCTTAGTAAAACTCAATCATTAAATTGTCAATAACGATAATCATAATCAATAAAAAAACATGAAAAGTAAGATAGAAAGCAAACAAGTTAGAACACCATCTACTACTAACTAGTATCGATCGATAATCGAACGAAAGAAAAACAAACTTGGAAATCAGTAGTATCATCAATAATATGAATTATATTATGAACAAGTGTATTCAGATAGAATAACTAATAGAATTCATTGTATTGAATATAACTATATTGATGCAAATGTTTTTGATTCGGTTAGCCAATTGGAGCCTCTCTTCACGGTTGTTGACGGTCGCATGTCGGATTAAAAAGGAAGGATGAGAATGAGGCGTTGGCAACGCTGTAGAAAACCAACTTGTTAAGGAAAAAAAAGTGCTGACCAGAACTAATTAAACTCCGCCTGTGTTACGCCTGCACGTAAACACGTCAACTTGATATACTTGAACTATTACGAGTTTACCTTAGTCGGAAACGCGAGAGCGAGGATCGAGGATCCGGCGACACGACATGCTACTCAAATCCAATTATCCCAACCCCCATATTGAGTAAAAATAAGAAGACATGATATGAAGTAGAACCTGTATTCTGCAAGCTTCCAGAAAGTACGAGGTCCGAATCCAGAAGAGAATCAAGGTACCAGACTAGGGATCCGGGTCCTTGTCCTCGTCATAAAACGTTACACATAATGCGTATTTATACATTTCGGTCGAATGAGAAACAGCATCGAATTCTGTGACATTGACAGTTAAGACGACCAATAGGAGGCAACATTTGAAGTGACATTGATAGTCAGGACAACCAATCAGAAATAACATTGGAGCACGTGACATTGATATCTAGGGCGACCATAAAATTGACCAGTAGGAATTATCCAATAGGAATTGACCAATATTTCTTTTAGGATATGGATAGAATATCCTCACAGCCTGAGGAGTTAGAAGGTCTTCATTTAGAAAAGTTTTGTCAACTCATGATGAAAGTCGAGTTTCTTCAGAAGTTACAACCCGAGTAACTAGTAGTATAGGTTAGGTATACGGAATGTTCGCACAATATGGAGACCGACAGAACCATACAAGCTTCTGCGGCGAATGGCGGCAGACATCAAAATAATGGACAGTGATTGAGTAGAAATGGAAAGAAAGGTAGGCGGCTGAGGGCAGAGTAGAATGGAGAATGCTAGTCGGTGGCCTATGCTTCATTAGGGGCGTAACAGGCGTATATAAGTAAGTAAGTAAGAAGAGAGAATAGACCACCTTCCATCTGAGGAAGAAATTAGGAAAAAACGCTGAAAGCGGATAGGAGATACATAGCATAAATGATCGACCAGCATTGCAAGGCGAACCGTAATTAGAAATCTTCAAAGCTAAAGGATAACAGGTAGATCATATAACCTATGGGGTCAGAATGAATAACACTTCGGAGCAATTGGAAAGGAGAGAGGAGTTATTCGTCACGAGGGGTAAAGTAAAGTAAGACATACATACGATTAATAACTTAATTACACTATACAATAAAACTAATCTCACCTCTTCTAAACGAGTTAAACGTTGTAACAATAATCCGTTTTCAGTACGAAGACGCTGAAAATTACATAAATAAGTAAAGACATATATACATACATTCATTTATATGTATAACAGTTTTAACTAAAGCACACAAGTTACTACGACATATCAACACAAAGGTTAAAGTCAGTCAATTATCAACAATGTAGAACTTGGTACGTATGTACATCAGTTCAAGTTACCATATCACATCACATAGGCACATAGAAAGATGAAATTGTCAAATCAAATCCCATAGTGGTAGATGCAGTCAAAGTATGAGCAGTAATCGGAGAGATTAGAGTTCCATGATATCATTCAAGAAGTATAATTCAGTGACATGACTTTAGAAAGAGAAAGATAGAGATGATGAGGAGTTCAGATTAGAATTTGAGAGAACCTGTGCCATATCATTCAAAGCCTTTAACCATCGGTTACTATCATCTCGCAGACACCAAATAGGTAGTCTGCATCTAACAACATGACTTAATCTACTTGTCAGTGACTTCATGGATTTGTGCCATTGTTTGGTTTGGCCGCCACTAGCTTTCTTCCGACCTAATCCTGCACCGCAAAACATCACTCGCCTGGGGCATTCGCTGAATATCAGAGTAATAGAAGTAGGAATAGTACAAAACATCAAGTACACAAGAGAATGATTCAAGAATAAAATTTTTGAAGCTGAAAATTGAATTAAAAACAAACGGTACAGTAGATCTGAACCGTCCACCCCTCCATTGCTATTGAATCTGAACTATGTCACTTGTCCGAAATCATAGGTCACAATAATCAACTAAACTGGTTGTCTCACCTCTTCTACATTTTACCTGAATTACTATGACATCAAGGAAACATCATACAGACAAAGTAAACAGTAGTTGGGTATAAGGGAGACAACAGGGGCAACATTTCTTCGATTAAAGAATGTCTGGAATTGAAAACAACTATCAACCAACATCAAAGTCATAATTTTCAATCCAAATGTCAGAACCACTGAAAGCTATCATCCATAAGATACAGGTGCTCATTAGCAGTTGTCTACTGAGGATCCGTTGACCAGACACCATCATCAACAACCTACTGTGGGAGAGAACAAACTAGCTTCCTCCAGCTGAGGAAGAAATTAAGCAGAAGCGCCGGAGGTGGATAGGATAAATATTGATGAAAGCACCCAAGTGCGTCATCAGAGAAACGCTCATATGGAATCCTCAAGGTCAAAGGGCACATTTCGCCCAGAATTGAAGAGAAATATGAAAAGAATGGACAGCAATCGGAGAGAACTCGAAAGGAAGGCTGAGTACAGAGTAGATAAAAGAATATGCACCGTAAAGACTAATATGACTACATGAAAGAATGTTTTTAATTATACTGATCTAATATGTATACATAAAATATATGTGAATACTTACGCGTAATTCAATTTGTTCTTCTCGTTCTTGACTACGCATTGTCATATATTCTTTCGCTAATCTATAATATTAACCATTTCCAAAAACCAAAAAAACAGAAGAGCATTAAACTATTCAACTAGTTTTATGAAGAGAAAAAATAATAATACATTCTTTTTCGTTTTAGAAAATGAATTTGTTGGGGACGTCAGATCCCCAGAACTCACTTGGAAAATGTCCTAATTGTGGATATTGTGTTTTCATGCATAAGTCGCTTACTTAACCTACAGCTTACATTTCCCAGTTGGAAAATCCTTGACTGGACTGTCATTGGTTTATGTGTTATTTTAGTACGACATTTTTGTGGCTCTCCCAAGGACGCTTCTATCATATATAATTAAACTCCATTTGTATGCTTGCCAACTCCGCCAGTAGAACCTTCGGGGCTACTGCCGGTCCCAAGCCCGGGTAAAGGAGGAGGGTTGGACATGGGGTTGGCGACCCCATTCCGTCAAAAACTAACTTGCCAAAAAAACGCTAACCAGAAAAAATAATTCAAACCATTTTAACTCTGCCCTGGGAGTTGGAGGAAGAATTATGACGTCGCGTGATGAAAGCCGGGTTCCCTCGGAAGTCACGGGGCTGATGCCTCTTCTGACAACCAGAGCAACCATTTTTTTAGGTACATGGAACGTTCGTACATTGTGGGAGACTGGAAGACTATTTCAAGTTGCGGCAGAAATGAGAAGATACAACCTCGAGGTGCTTGGAATCAGTGAAACACATTGGACACAAGTAGGACAACTGAGACTAGCTTCAGGGGAACTGCTGTTATACTCTGGTCATGAAGAGGAAAACGCTTCACATACACAAGGAGTTGCACTGATGCTGTCCAAACACGCACAAAAGGCACTAATAGGATGGGAATCTCATGGACCCAGGATCATTAAAGCATCCTTCAAAACAAAGAAACAGGACATTGCAATGAACGTCATCCAATGTTATGCACCTACCAATGACTACAATGACGACGTTAAAGATCAATTCTACGAAAGGCTGCAGTCAATCGTCGAGAAATGTTCACCAAAGGATTTGACGATTCTTATGGGAGACCTGAATGCCAAGGTTGGAATGGACAACACTGGATATGAAGACATCATGGGACGACATGGACTGGGAGAAAGAAACGAAAACGGTGAGAGATTTGCAAACCTATGTGCCTTCAACAAACTGGTCATCTGTGGCACAATATTCCCGCACAAACGCATTCACAAAGCCACATGGATTTCACCGGATCACACTACTCAAAACCAGATTGATCATATCTGTATCAACAAAACGTTCAGAAGGACTATGGAGGATGTGAGAACCAGGAGAGGAGCTGATGTAGCCTCAGATCACCATTTGCTAATCGCCAAAGTGAAACTGAAACTAAAGAAGCACTGGACAACGGGACAGACAACATCACAGAAGTTTAATACAGCCTTTCTTCGGGATACTGTAAAGCTCAACGAATTCAGGATAGCCCTCACCAATAAGTTCCAGGCCTTACAGGATCTACACAATGGAGAGGACACAACATTGGAGAACAATTGGAAAGGGATTAAGGAGGCAATCACTTCAACATGTCAGGAGGTCCTTGGTCGCAAGAAGCAGCATCATAAGGAATGGATCTCTGTTGATACTCTCGCAAAAATTGAAGAAAGGAGGAACAGGAAGGCATCAATCAATGTCAGCCGAACAAGAGCGGAGAAAGTTACCGCACAAGCTGCATACACAGAAGCATGCAGACAAGTGAAGAAGAGCATCAGAGCTGACAAACGAAAATACGTGGAAGATCTAGCAATGACGGCGGAAAAGGCTGCAAGAGACGGAAACTTGAGACAATTGTATGAAACTACAAAGAAGCTCGCCGGGAACTATCGTAAACCAGAACGACCAGTGAAAAACAAGGAAGGCAAAGTAATCAGCAACACTGAAGAACAGCGAAATAGGTGGGTAGAGCACTTTAAGGAACTCCTAAATCGACCGACACCCAACATCGAAGCAGCATCCACGGACCTCCCAATTAATATTGGCGCACCTACGATTGAGGAGATCAGTATGGCCATCAGACAAATCAAGAACGGCAAAGCAGCAGGACCAGACAACATTCCAGCAGAGGCAATGAAAGCAGATGTAGAAGCAACCGCGAAAATATTTCACATCCTCTTCAAGAAGATTTGGGATGAGGAACAAGTACCATCAGACTGGAAAGAAGGATACCTGATCAAAATACCAAAGAAAGGCGACCTCAGCAAGTGTGAGAACTACAGAGGCATCACTCTTCTTTCAATACCAGGCAAAGTCTTCAACAGGGTATTGTTAAACAGAATGAAGGACTTCGTTGACGCCCAACTTCGAGATCAACAGGCCGGATTTCGGAAGGATCGATCGTGTACTGACCAAATTGCTACATTACGGATAATTGTGGAACAATCAATAGAATGGAACTCACCACTCTACATCAACTTCATCGACTACGAGAAAGCATTCGATAGCGTGGACAGGAAAACACTGTGGAGGCTTCTTCGACACTACGGTGTGCCTGAGAAAATATTTAACATCATACGAAACTCTTATGATGGATTCAACTGCAAAATCGTGCACGGAGGACAGCTAACCGACTCTTTCGAGGTAAAGACCGGTGTCAGGCAAGGTTGCTTACTCTCACCCTTTCTCTTTCTCATGTTGATCGACTGGGTTATGAAGACGTCAACATCTGGAGGGAAGCACGGTATCAACTGGACAGTTAGGACTCAGCTGGACGATCCGGACTTCGCAGATGACCTGGCTCTTCTATCGCACACTCAACAACAAATGCAAGAGAAGACGACCAGTGTAGCAGCAGCCTCTGCAGCAGTAGGTCTCAACATACATAAAGGAAAAAGCAAAATTCTCCGATGCAACACAACATGCACCAATCAAATCACTCTTGATGGAGATGACTTGGAGGACGTTAACACTTTTACATATCTGGGCAGCATCATCGACAATCAAGGTGGATCGGATGCAGATGTGAGGGCACGGATTGGCAAAGCAAGGGCGGCATTTCTACAGTTGAAAAATATCTGGAACTCCAAACAGATATCAATCAACACCAAAATCAGGATTTTCAATACAAATGTCAAGACAGTTCTACTTTATGGAGCGGAAACATGGAGAACTACCAAAGCCATCATCCAGAAGATACAAGTGTTTATTAACAGCTGTCTACGTAAAATACTTCGGATTCGTTGGCCAGACACCATCAGCAACAACGAACTGTGGGAGAGAACAAGTCAGATTCCAGTGGAGGAGGAAATGAGGAAGAAGCGGTGGAAGTGGATAGGACACACTCTACGAAAAGCACCTAACTGCGTCACGAGACAAGCCCTCACATGGAACCCTCAAGGCAAAAGGAAAAGAGGAAGGCCAAAGAATACATTACGCCGAGAAATAGAGAAAGATATGAAAGGAATGAACAAACATTGGACAGAACTGGAGGAAGAAGCCCAGGACAGAGTTGGTTGGAGAAAACTGGTGGGCGGCCTATGCTCCATTGGGGGTAACAGGCGAAAGTAAGTAAGTAAGTATGCTTGCCAACTTCATAGTTTCTGGGCGCGTGTAGAATACACTTACTACGCCTGATCAAGACTTTTTACTATAGTTAGCAGGGCCTGGGACAATCGAGTCAGAATAGTCACTGGATCATTTGTCTTCGCACTCGTTTACTGAGTAAGGTGAACTCGTAATAGTTTCGAACATATCGTATCTCACATCCATTCCCTGACCAATGAGAAGCATTCATCCGTTAGAGCATTTCTGCATGTCATAAAGTAACTCTCATGTTTGACCACTTCTGACTGGCTCTTAACATTACCATCGGCTTAAAGTAACTGACACTTTGTTTCTATTTCACCTTATGGGGTTGCAGAGATTTTTGAGTTAGTTTTCAATGATACAACACAGAACATCGTACGTAAGTACATCAGTTCAGGTTGCCATACCTCATTAGCATAGGGACGCAACTGTCAGTTCAAATCCAATAATGGTAGTGATAGTATAAGTATTAGCAGTAATGCAGAAGATTACGGTTCGAAGATAGGATTCGAGAAGTATAATTCAGTAAGATAAATTCAGAAGGAGTAAGGTAGAGATGATGACGAATTCAGAAGAATAAAATTTCAGAGAACACATAGAGTGGATGCATCTGCACCATTGCAAACGATTTTGAGCCATATCGTTCAAGTTTTTTAACCGTCTGTGAATTTAGTCTCGCGGACCCTAACCCAGGTATAGTCGACACCTACCAACATGACTAAGTCCAGTTGTCAGTGACTTCATCGATTTGTGCCATATTTTGGTTTGGCCGCCCCTTCAACATCAGTTGAGATGGTTGGAACATGTGTTACGTATGCCTAACTAACGACTGACGCGACAAGCTATGTTTTGCAATGTAGGAGTAGGTTGTAAGAAAGCTAGGGACGGCCAAACCAAAAGATGTCAGAAATCCATGAAGCCACTGACAAGTGGACTGAGTCATGTTGGTAGATGTAGGCTATCTGGTCGGGGTCCGCGAGACGAAAGTCAACAATGGTTAGAGACCTTATACGACATGGCTCAGAATCGTTTGCAATGGCTCAGGTGCATCCACTCTTTGTGTTCTCTCTAATTCTAACCTTCTGAATTCGTCATAATCTCTATCTTTCTCCTTCTAAATTTATCTTACTGAATTATACTTCTCGAATCATATATTCGCTCCCTAATCTCCTTCATTGCTGCTAATACTTCTATTATTGCTATTACTCTTGGATTTGAACTGACAGTTGCGTCTCTGTGCTGATGTGGTATGGCAACCTGAACTGATGTACTTATGTACTAAGTTCTGCGTTGTATCTGTCTGTCTGTATGTTGGCCACCCCTAACTTTCTTCCCACCTACTCCAACACCACAAAACATAGCTCGATGAGGCAGTCGATGGTTAGGCATACGTAACACATGTCCCAACCACCTCAACTGATGAACTTTCAATACTTCATCAATTGATCTGCCATCCCTAACTAATACTCGTTTCCCAACGACAGCATTGCTCACTCGGTTGTCCCAGGAAATATACAAGCAATGCTTCGGATGTACCTATGATCGCAGACAAGGAAATCATGAATCAATCAATGTCAGATCACTAATAAAAACTTGGAAGCATTGCAAGATGGCCTTTTCAATCTCATGGACTCATGGATACATACTGCTGATGAGTAGTTTTTTTTATTAGTGATCTGCCAAAATGGTTAATTCATCATTTCAAAGTCACTTGCGGATAGATAATAAAAAAAAAGAGGTATAAAACACTACACAAAAGTTTACTTACATGGTACATGTGAAAAAATCTATGCTAAGTACGGACATGTATTTTTCAAATCAAGTTAAAAAAACACTACACACATGTACATGTTTCATAACTTACTTTTTCATTTTTTTTGTATTCAATTTCAATGAACAAGCATTATCGAATAGGATATTTGAATATTTATCCCATGTTAATGGTCCTTCATGTTGAAGATACTGTAAGCAACACAACACACACATACATACATTCGTCATTATATATATATATATATATATATATATATATATATGGGAAAGATGAATATGAGGAAATGACATAGTAGTGTAATTCAATCATTATTGATCTATAATTAAGTAATTTAGCTAGCGAAAAAAAAGTTGAATCCGTTTTCAGGAAGTTTGCTTGCTGTTTCTAACCTCTATACGATTAATAAGAACACTAGAGACAACGATGTGTTTACAGTCTGAAACAACCAATCAAGATCAAGGAAAACAGGATAAACTACGAGTTATACACGTGGAGAAATCCGAATACTTCATTTCTGCTATCAGAAGTTTGTTCAAAAGCTCCACAATCAAAACATTTCCGACTCAGAGGACAAAACTTCATCACAAGTACGAAGATAAGAAAAGAATTAAAAGTCACCATGGAACATTTTTATCAGATTTATGCGAAAAATATCACAGGCGTTGAGTCTATAGTGTTATAATTAACAGAGTTGTATTATTTGTTAATGAGAATACATAAAACAAGATAGATGCTGCTAATAGAGTAGTGGAATCCAGGATGGAAGTTTCATCCTATTTAGAATTCATCGGCACGATGTACTTCCATAGAAGAATTGAAGTTTAGTCTGTTGCTACTGCCGGTGCCAAACCCTGATAAAGGAGGAGGGTTGGGCGTGGGTTTAGCGACCCATCCGGTAGAAAACTAACTCGCTAAAAAAACGCTAACCAGAAAAAAATAATTCAAACCATTTAAACTCTGCCCTGGGAGTTAGAAGGCATTCACTCAGAAGAGTTATGGTGTCTCATGATGGAAGCCGAGTTCCTTCGGAAGTCACGAGGTCGATGCGTCTTCTGCCAATCAGGGCAACCACTAATTTACGTGCATGGAATGTTTGAACAACGCGGGAGACCGGAAGACTATCCTAAGTTGCAGCAGAAATGAAAACATACAACCTGGAGGCGCTTAGAATCAAAGAAACACATTGGATGTAGGTTGGACAACAAAGTTACAAGTTCTAACTTGGAAACCTCACAGTCGAAAGAAAAAGGAAGACTGGAAAACAAGTTACGCCGAGAAACGGAGACATACATGGGAAGAATGAACAAAAATTGGACAGAACTGAAAAGGTAAGCTCAGGACAGAGTAGGCCAGAGAATGTTGGTTGGTGGCCTATGCCTGATTGAGGGTAGAGATCAATCTGTGTTATAGATACATTCCCAGCTGACGAATTCCGTATGGAACGAAACTTTTATATATTTCTGATTTGAATTGTTAAACACATTTCATCCATTTGACATAAACATGCGTCAATACATGTCAATCAATACCGATGAAACATTTCACTTCAAATATCATTACACTATTGTGATTAACTACTACAAAATGCATTATTGTGGTGCAATGATTCAGTTGTAGTGATGCTGACATTCGACTAATTTCAGCTATTGAGTTATTAGTTCCAACTTTAGTTTCATTTACTCCACGGTTTGGATTAAAGTATGTCAATGCAAACAAATCTATGCCTGATACAAGCGACCGACCGTAGCTGCTACCTTGACGTGGTGGTCGGGCTTGACAATCGTGATGACCCAAACGAGCTATACTGGCTGGAACATATGTTCCTGAAGGTTCTACCATGCCAGGCAGGTCGATTGGAGAACGATGAAATTAAAAGCAGCTACTCACGGTCTGAGGGCGAAGTCGTACTGCTCACTGCAGAGGGGTGTGACAACAGTAAGGTGTTTCCATCGGATAACCAGCATCTGCAGAGATACTGCCTTCTCACAAGGAAGGTAGGGGTTAGAAAAGGTCGACCCTAAAAATGTCACACCTCACCTTACCTCACGGATTTGTGTCTCCGACGGTAAGGGTGCCCACTAAGGGCTTTCAAGAGCGGAGCTAATCCTCAAAATACCTTTCATAAAAATGCCGTGCGTGACCGGCCTCAAGCAGTTATCCCTTGGGCTCTGCAGTCACGCTCCAAGATCTCCAAGACCAACACTAATCAATCTTCCTTTTCAGGTCCCTCAAGAAACAACCTTCCATAGTGTGGTCCGCCGGGAAGTGACAACCGCCCCCGTACCCGTAACAACACAAGCGTATGGTAGAAACAAACAAACAAACTAACTAACTAACTAAAACGAAGACCGATTAAAAAACTTACTGCAACCATTGATTCCATATCACGTCTTAATAGATTGTCAGCAGAAAATTTCAATATTGATAAAGCTAATTTGAAGATGAATTGTAGACCCTGAATTAAATGTAAATGTACAGTAAAAAGGAGAAGATGGATGGATGAATGATGAAAATATAATATTGGCAAAGATCAATTTTGTTTTTTTACAAAAGCTATATACAAAAGTGATGATTTCGTTGGTGGATAATACAGAGAAATATTGAAAATTAGTGTAAGGTTTAAGGTGCAGTGGATACTACTGGCAGTATGGTTTGCAAGTAGTATGCAATGCAGTGTCACAAGACAGTCATAGCCTGGTGACTGACGAAATCTCAGCTCGGATACAGAAGCCTCGATTAGCTTTTGCCAACCTGCGTTTTACTTTATGGGTGTGAAACATGGCAAGTGAGAGTAGAAGTTATTCGTAGGTTACTGGTATTCGATCATAGGTGTCTGAGAAGCATTGCTCGTATATCGTGGGACAACCGAGTGAGCAACGCTGTTATTAGGAAACGGGTGCTAGGTAACAATCGCAGATCAATAGATGAAGTAATGAAACTTCATCAGTTGAGGTGGTTGGGACATGTGCTGCGTATGCCTAACCACCGACTGCCTCGACGAACTTTGTTTTGTAGTGTAGGAATAGGTTGGAAGAAAGTTAGGGGCGGCCAAACCAAAACATGACACAAATCCATGAAGTCATTGACTAGTGGACTGAGCCATGTCGGTAATTGTCGACTACCTACCTGGTTGGGGTCCACGAGATGATAATAATCGATGGTTATAGACCTTGAATGACATGGCTCAAAATCGTTCACAATGGCGCCAGTGCATTTATCCTTTGTGTTCTCTCAAACCCTAATCTTCTGGATTCTTCAACACCTCTGGTTTTGACTTTCTAAACTTTTCTCACTGAATCATACTTGTTGAATAATATCTTCTAATCCTAACCTCTCCGATTACTCCTAATACCTTGACTAACTCTACTACTATTGGATTTGAATTGACAATAATATCTCTGTGCTGATGTGGTATGGCAACATGAACTGATGTACTTACGTACCACGTTCTACGTTCCATCTGACTGACTGACTGACCAGACAGTCATTAACGGAGAGAAGGATGTTGGATCCGATTAAAATGTTTTAAAGACTAAAGACCTAGGAAAGATGTAAGTCAATAATGTGTTTGTTTTACAAGTGGCGCTCTGAAATTCAATTGTAGATATTTTGTTAGTAAACTGTGTTTTCTCTAAATATATAGACCATTCTCTTTGGTCTTGACGCTTTCGCTCAGTACATCAGGAGACTAAAAACTTTCATCAGTCAGCCATAGACCACCTCCCTATGCACGATATTAGCTACAGCGGGCATAATCGGGAATTTAGAGTTGAATGAACCAAAAGGTGGGCATCAGTTCACCTACTCACTGACTGTTCAAGGTAAGCTGAATGATAGATACAGGTAACCTGGTTGATGCACATGAAGTTATCAACACTGAAGCATTTAAGAAATTGAGTAAAAGAAACCGAATTTGATTGCAACAATTCAGTTACATTCAATTGTTATCATGTCTCAGATCCAGATCCTGATATTCATGTAACTTATTCTGATTCCGCTGTGCTGATGGCCTGGTGACTGACGAAATCTCAGCACGTATATAGAAAGCTCGATCGGCTTTGCCAACTTGCGTCACCTATGACATAGGCGAGATATCCGTCTACACAGCAGTTCGCTCTGTACTACTTGATGGGTATGAACATGGGCCAGTAGGCGTAGAGGAAATTCGTAGGGTTACTAGTATTCTATCATAGATGCTGGTTTATCCTAGGACAACCGAGTAAGCAATGCTGTCGTTAGGAAACGGGTCCTAGGTAAGAATGGCAAACTATCACACGAAGGTGCAAATCTTGATGAGTTGAGGTGGCTGGTACATATGATACAAATGCCCAACCACCGACTGTCACGATGGAAGATATTTAGTGATTTAGGGGTAGGCTGGAAGAAAGCTAAGGGTGGTCAAACCAAAACATGGCACAAATCCATGACAAGTTGACTGAGCCATGTTGGTCGATATACACTACCAGGTTGGGGTCCGCAAGACAAATGTAACCGATAGTTAGAGACCTTGAACGACATGGCTCTAAATCGTTTGCAATGGCGCAGTTGCATCCACTCTTTCTGTTATTTTAATCTTCTGAACTTCTCATGATCATTCTGATTTTTTTCCAAATTTACCTCCTTGTATTATACATCTCGAACCAGAACATCGAACGCCGATCTTTTCCATTATTGCTAATACCGCTACTACATCTATCACAATGAGATTTGAATGGACAATTACATCTGTGTGTGCTAATATGGTATGGCAACTTGAACTGATGTACATACGTATGAATGTCTCCGTTGTAGCTAACTATGACTGACAGAATATTTGTTTAACAAACATTTTTTTAACAGAATATAAACCAGAAAAAAATATATAACAATAAACTGAATTCCATAAACATCCCTGTTAAGAACAATCATTATACTAGAGTTATTGCAACAACGGAAGCATGATAAAATAGTACAGTGTACGTAGAACTGCGCAACATATAACTTGAAACTTCTGATTTATTCAAAAGCATGTCTACTAAATAAACAATTTTGTTGTCGAAAATTTAATTTATTCTAATGTACAGTCAGTTGCAACGTAGAACTTCGTACGTATGTACATAAGTTCATATTGCCATACCACATTGGCACAGAGACGTAAATGTCAAATGAGATCCCATAGTGATAAAGATAGTAGAGACTAGGGTTTGAAGATATTATCCAAGAAGTATAATTCAGTTTGATAATGTTAGAAAGACAAAGGTAGAGGTGATGAGCGAACTGCTGCGCAGTACACTCGTCCTTTGATTAGCGAACGAATATCTCGCGTACGCCATTAACGGCGTAAATTGGAAAAAGCAAATCGGTACACTGTAGTGATTTAAGTCTAGACTAGGCAAAGAGAAAGAGAAATCAATACTAAACTGCAAAAATATGGCACACATTCAGTTAGTCGGTCAGTTACATCGTAGAACTTCGTAAACGAGTACATAAGTCCAGACTGTCCATACCACATCAGCACAGAGACGCATTTTGTCAGTTCATATCTCATAATGGTGAAGATAGAAGTATTAGCAGTAATGAAGACGATTAGGGTTCCAATATATGACTCGAGAAGTATAATTCAATACGGCACAAATTAATGTGAAGCAAGTAGACACAGACAAATACAACGCAGAACTTCGTACGTAAGTACATCATTTCAGGTTGCCATACCTCATTAACAAAGAGATGCAACTGTCAGTCAAAATCTAAGAGTGATACCGATGGTAGAAGTATTAGCAGTAATGAAGAAGATTACGGTTCGAATACATGACTCGAGAAGTTTTAATTCAGTGAGATAAATTTAGAAGGAGAAAGATAGAGATTATGACGAATTCAGAAGGTTAGAATTAGAGAGTGGATACACCTGCGCCATTGCAAACGATTCTGAGCTATATCGTTCAAGGTCTCTCTCTAACCATTGGTGACTCTCGTCTCGCGGACCCCAACCAGTGAATTTTACCTACAATATTTATCTTTCTATAGAATGGATCGATATATATATATACACATATATAAAGTCAGTCGACAACAGGTTATTACATAAACGTTTGTATATATGTATATTTTTGCTTAGAATTTATGACTGAAGTTCGTTTTCAAGTTGGTATTCATTACATTATGAAAATAAGTCAAGTTACTAAAGATAGTTAAACAAACAGATTAGATAGATAGATAGATGAACAGACACCGACAATGAAGAATTTTGATTAACTTTATGTAAAAAAAAAATAAGCAAAATCTACATATTTTATGATAGTAGCAGTGGTAAGTATCATCCAAAAGATACAAGTGTTTATTTACAATTGTCTTAGTGAAATACTTTCGATCTGTTGGCTTGAGACCATCAACAATAACCTACTGTGAGAAAGAACAAACCAAATCCCAGTGGAGGAAGAAATCAGGAAGAATCACTGGACATGGATAAGACACACATTGAGAAAAGTACCTAACTGCATCACAAGACAAGTTCTCACTTAAAACCCTCAATGTTCAAAGAAAAGAGGCCAAGGAACACATCGCAACCATAAATACGGACAGATATGAGAAGAATGAACGAAAATCGGACAGAACTGTACAGGGAGGCACAAGATTGTTACGCCTGCACGTAAACACGTCAACTTGATATACTTGAACTATTAAGAGTTTACCTAGTCGGAAACGCGAGAGCGAGGATCGAGGATCCGGTGACACGACATACTACTCAAATCCGATTATCCCAAGCTCCCATATTGAGTAAAAATAAGAAGACGTGATATGAAGTAGACTGTGTATTCTACAAGCATCCAGAAAGCACGAGGTCCGAATCCAGAAGAGAATCAAGATCCCGGACTAGGGATCCGGGTCCTTGTTCTGGTCATAAAACGTTACAGATAATGCGTATTTATACATTTTGGTCGAATAGGAAACAGCATCGAAGTCTGTGACATCGACAATTAAGACAACCAGTAGGAAGTAACATTTGAAGTGATATTGATAGTCAGGACAACCAATAAGAAACAACATTGGAGCACGTGACAATGATATCTAGGACGACCATAAAATTGGCCAGTAGGAATTGACCAATAGGAATTGATCTATAATTTGCTTAGGATATTGGATGAATATCCTAACAGGATAGAGTAAGTTGTAGAATACCGGCGGGTGGCCTATGGCCCATTAGGGGTATGCAGGCGTGGGTAAGTAAGTAAGTTAACAGTGGAATTCACAACAAGCGTTTCGTTTATATGAGTGACCTATCAAGTAGATCTACTTACATCTCATAGTCATCGATGTTCATCACTGTGGGACATCTACACCAACCTGATCAAATCTCAGTGAAATATATGAACGACCAGATAATCAAAGCCATTAAACCATCTCTAGTAAAATAATCTTTGTTGATATTGCCTAAATTCTCATACAATATATATATATATATATATATATATATATATATATATTCATCTCTGTAATTTGAGAAAAACGCATGAATAGCGTTACTATAATTCCCTATTGTGCTAATAATTAAAGCATTTATCTTATCGGGATTTTAATTCACAGTACTCTCCAACTGATTATCATCATATTTCACACACACACACACTCACTTTCTCTCTCTTTCAATTAATAAAATACAACAATCACCATTGACAACCAAAATGAAATAAAAACGATGAATAACAATGGAATATTTAAAATAGTTTAAGAAAGTAATTCATTGGTTGATAACACATCGTTCAAATCACAAATTGATATCTAAACTAGAGACTACAATCAAAAAGTTTGGATTCCATGAAAGACAACCGTTTCGTGCTTTTGTGACATACTCATCAGTAAGCAGTTTGTACCCACGACTACCAGACAAGTGAGTTGATTAGGCAAGTCAGTTATAACGTAGAACTTCGTACATACGTACATAAGTTCAGGTTGCCATACCACATTAGCACAGAGAACACGAAGAGTGGATGCATCTGCACCATTGCAAACGATTTTGAGCTAAGTCGTTCAAGGTATCTAATCTTCGGTGACATTCGTCTCGCGCCAACCAACCATGTAGCCTACATCTACCTACATGACTCAGTTCACTTGTAAGTTACTTCCCCGATTTGTGCCATGTTTTGGTTTAGCCAACCCAGCTGTTTTACAACATACTCCCACACCAAAAAAACATAACTCGGGGAGGCAGGATGTGGTTGGACAGTTCAATTCAAGAAAGGTTCAATACTTCACCAACTGATTTGCCATCCCTACCTAATACTCGTTTCCTAACGACAGCATTGCTTACTCGGTTGTCCTAGGATACACGAACAATGCTTCGAAGACACACATGATGGAATACTAGTAACCTACGAATTTCCTCTACTCTTACTGGCCATGTTTCACATTCATAGAGTAGAATGGAGCGAACTGAAGCGAGTAATAAATCAATCTAATCTAGATTATGATTGGAAAGCATGCAACCTTTGGGATTCGATACCCATTTGTAAGTTGTTGAAGAATCAATCTCCCATCGATGCATACAACAGCCTACTACTTTCAGAGTTTTCAGGTTTCTAATACTAATCTAGCTTAGATTTGTTTGTAATTTCCATCGTAACCATGTTCACCGATTCTTCTTGATCATCCAAACACTGTAATTAATTCCGCGAGAGGATAGTCACCAATGGTTAGAGACCTTGAACGACATGGCTCAGAATCGTTTGCAATGGCGCAGGTGCATCCACTCTTTGGGTTCTCTCCGATTCTAATCTTCTGAATTCCTCATCATCTCTGTCTTTCTCTTTCTAAATTTATCTCAGTGAATTATACTTCTCGAATCATATCTTCGCTCCCAAATCTTCTCCATTACTGCTAATCCTTCTATTATTGCTATCACTGTTGGATTTGAACTGACAGTTGCGTCTCTGTGCTGATGGGGCATGGCAACCTGAACTGATGTACTTATGTACGAAGTTGTGCGTTGTATCTGTCTGTCTGTTTGTATTAATAAAACGGTTAATGTCAGTACACTTTTCTAATGTTCATACAAATATATATATATATATATATATATATATATATATATGTATATATTGTATGATATCTTTTTTTCAGGTACAATCGATACAACTACGTGAACCTGATATACACACAGTACATATATATATATATATATATATATATATATATATATTTCTAAATAGTATACAATGAAATCGAGCACATGAATGCACGTCAAACTTTGATGTTTAATAGTGAATGAATGAAATTGAGCGTTTACATAGTTGAGTGAATCAACAACTTGATGCATACATGTATGATATATATATACATATTTTTACAAACAAATGAATTGAACATAACACTGATAATATTGAAATGAAATAATTAGAAAAGATTCAGATTTCATTCACTGAGAGATAAGCTCAATGTTTTTGGATTGACTAAATAATAATAGATCAGTGTATACAAGGCACTCGATAAGAATGCTTATTGCTTCGGATTCAGGCTAGTTACATGGCTGTTTAAGTTTGTCAAAATAACTTATAGGGAATTAATAATTCACCACATAAGATTCACACAATAAACAATGAAGTGTCATAGTTAGAAATGTCACAAATGAGTTATTATGGTCATGAACGACACTTTGTACGATTTGATTACTTATTCAGCATAAGTCAGTCAGTCAGTTACAACGTAGAACTTCGTACGTATGTACACCAGTGTTCAGATTGACATACCACATTAGCACAGAGATACAATTGTCACTTAAAAGCTCATAATAGTAGAAATAGTAGAAGTATAGGCAGTGATCGGAAAGATAACGATCCGCAGACATTATTCAAGTTTAATTGAGTGAAATAAATTTAGAAAAAGAAAGATAGAGAGGATGAGGAATTCAGAAGATTAGAATGTTAGAGAAGACAAAGGATGGATGCACCTGCACCATTACAAACGATTTTGAGCCACGTCATTCAACGTCTCTAATCATTGGTTACTATCATCTAGCGGATCCCGACCAGGTAGTCTATATCTACCAACATGACTCAGTTCACTTGTAAGTGACTTCATGGATTTGTGCCATGTTTTGGTTTGGCCACCTCAGCTTTTTTCCCACAGATAATCCTACACAACAAAATATAGCTCGGGTAGGCAGGCGGTGGTTGGGCATTTGTAACACATGTCCTAACCACCTCAACTCAAGAATTTTCAATACTTCGACTGGTTTGCCATCCGTACCTAGTATTCATTTCCTAATTATAACATTGCTTATTCGGCTGTCCCAGGATACATGAGTAATGCTTCTAAGATATCTATGATCGAATACTAGTAACCTACGAGTCTCCTCTACTCCTACTGGCCATTTTTCGCATCCATAAAGTAGGGCGAAGCGAAACCATGCACTGTAGACTTATCTTCTAGTTACAAAACGCCATAATTGAGGATAGTTGACAAACGCCAGTCGAGCCTTCTGTATTCGTGCTGAGATATCGTTATTTACAAGTCCATTAGCCCTGATGAGACTCCCAATATAAGCGAAGCAGTCAACCCGCTCAACTGCTTCACTCCACATAACTAGCTCAAGTGCCGATGCAACCAACTCTTGAAGCAACATTTCGCATTTCAACAGGGAAAATCACACCCCAGACACGCTTACATTGTTGCGTACGGTAGTTAGCATCTTCGCCAAACAGAACTATGTCATCGGTATATTCTAAGTCAAGAAGCGTGTCTCTTGGTAGGAAGTCCACTCCTGAAAAAGCATTTTAATGAAAAAGTTAAACAAGAATGAAGAAACTGGATAACCTTGACTACTTTTACCATAAGAAGACATCATACATGCAGATGTTAGTTGTCTGACAAAAAAAGCAACAGCCAAACTGTCGTCACAGCCCTTAAACAATCCACACTAGAACTTCACCATGTAACCTAACATTTCTACCTCCAGCCTGAGTATGATCCAATCGACCAGCTCGGAATACTAGAACCTAAAATAGGACAACTATTCAAATCAGCATAACTCAACTAAGTAAGTAAGTCAGTCAGTCAGATGCAACGTAGAACTTTGTACATAAGTACATCAGTTCATGTTGACATACCAGATTAGCACACGGAGATGTAATTGTAAATTCAAATGCCATATTAGTAGCAGACGTAGTAAATGTATTAGCAGTAGTCGGAGAGATTAGGATTAGAAGATATTACTATTCAAGAAGTATGATTCAATCAGATAAGTTAAGAAAGTCAAAACTAGAGGTGTTGAAGAATCCAGAAGATTAGGATTTCAGAGAGAACACAAAGAACACATATGCACCAGCGCCATCGCAAACGATTTTGAGCCATGATGTCATTCAAGGTCTCGCCGTCCATCGATTATTATCATCTCGTGGACCCCAACCAGGTAGGTAGTCGACTATTACCGACATAGCTACTGTCCACTCGTCAATAACTTCATGGATTTCTACAAGTAAGTCATCATGAATTGACAATTGAATGAAGATGGTAATGACAGTCAAAAAAAATTGAAAATTTAACTATTACAATGCAAAAAATAGTTTATTACATTAGCAAACAAACAAATAAATCAATATAATATCCAACTTACTTCAGCAATATAAAAATCCATTACACGTGTAGCACATGGTATCGGTAGGACAGTAGAGAATAATGTTAAAAACCATGCTGATGCATATAAACTAGGAGCAAATGATTGTGTACGAAAATGTGTATACAAATCAGGCAAATTATCCGCTAGTAATTGTTCCAATTGATACATACTAATACCTAATTCTAGCATAGATGGTTTATACATTTCACGTAGTCGATAATCATTCATTAATTGAACTAATACAGCGAATGCATTTTGTTCAGGCATCTAAAAAAATATTGAAAATATAGTTAGTTAGGGTTGTGTGAACCAACTATAAAACAATATGATAACAGTCTATGATGTGGTTGTATTGAATTAATCATAAAATTGTTTAATATTTTTTGAGATTGATAAGAAACTTGCAGGCGGTAGACGGATGTTTTAGTCCTACGTTGTGTGGCAGTGTACATGCACAAATTCATGAGTGGGATTCGAACCTAGGACTTTCACAGTATAGTACATAAACGCTATATCTCCTGATCTCAGTCGGATGGGATTATGTCCAGTTCCCAGATCCTACCTAAGATCTCAGTCAACCTAGCTGCTAAAACTGGACCACCATCCTTAAATATCTCAGGGGTAAGTCTATCAGGACCTGCAGCTCGCCCTCGCTTCAGATTTCCTAACGCTTTTTCAACTTCATTAAGACTAGGGGGACTTACGTCGATTTGCCATTCAGGATGACTGGAGATCGTGGGTAACCGAAGAGTGGCTCGAGGCCAGTTGAACTGATCCCTAAAGTGTTCTGCCCATCGATCCAGTCTCCTGGATTGAGAATAAATAATAGTCCCATCATTTTCCGAGATAGTCTCACTTACACTAGGATTCCTAATACCAGTTTCCTTGATAAGTCAGAAAAGTGGTCTACTGTTGGCGATCGCCGCTGCCTTTTCCATCGCTTTTGCTTTCGCCACCCACCACTGTTCGCGGTCGTTACGTAGGCTTTTTATAAGTCTGCGCCTAAATTGACTTCGCTCTTCATCATGTTCAGAGCCAGGGGGGATGAGTTTTCGGGCATCGATCAGATCGGTGGATGCTACTGAGATCCACGGCTTCATTCTAGCCTTATGTTCAACCATACTAGCAGATATCACTGCTGTTTCCACAGCCTTTTTGATATCATACCAACCTGCTTATGGATGGGAATCGCTTATATGGTCGCCTAACTCTCTTTCTATTTGTTCCTGGAATATATTATTAGCCTCATTATCATTCAGTAAAACCCTAAGATGTTTCCTTACGGTGTCTTTCCTACGCCCTGTGAGCCTCAAACAAATACGAGCGCGCAATAGGGCATGATCTGAATCTAAACATGTGCACCAGAACGAGCGACAGTCCTCTATCGAACCCCTCCATCGGTGGCTGATGGCGATGTGATCTAGTTGCGTCCAACCTTGAGACGACTTCGGGGGTCGCCAGATCAATAGATGCTTCTCCTCATGCCTAAAGTTAGTGTTTGCTAGAAATAGGTGGTTATCTGAGCATACTTGCAACAGACGGTCGCCATTGTCTGTTATCTCAGCCGCGACACCATAACATCCACCAAGGTGTCCTTCATTTTCACTTAGTCTACCTACTAGAGCATTAAAGTCACCAGCCATTATAGCTATATTAGAGCACCTTACTTTTTGGAGGTCTGAAAGCTTTCTGTAAAACTCATCTTTTACATCGTCTGTACTGCAGTCAGTCAGTGTCCCTATCCTTTCGAATCCTTACTGTCCCGTTCAGACTGACGGCGCACAAACGACTATCTACAGGGATCCAGTCTAGGAGCGCTAGTTCTGCCCTACGACTCAATACTATACCTACACCAGCGAGACCCCGGGAAGCAGCATCAGGGCTACCGGATACACGAAGAGTAAATCGGGCTGCTTCTTTGTTTTGGCAAGGCGAGATCAGATTAATGATTTTACTAGGATCCTGTATGCGCGTTTCCGAGACGCAGCACACATCGATTGAGCGAGATTCTAAAGTCCTAGCTAATGATGCATGTTGCCCTATTTGACACAATGTCTTGTTACGCGAGCACGTAAAAAGGTCAGTTTGATATGCTTGAACTATTACAAGTTTACCTTAGTCAGTAAACGAGAGCGAGGATCGACGTTACGGCAACACGACAGGCTACTCTAATCCGACTGTCTCCTAAGCCTCGATTAAGTAAAAGAAGAAGACTTGATATGAAGTAGAACCCGGTATTCTACAAGCATCCAGAAGGCACAAAGTCCGAGTCCAGAGGAGAATTAGGGACCCCAGGTCATAAAATGTTACAGATAATGCGTATTTATGCAGTTATATCTGATAGGGAACAACATTGAAGTCTGTGACGTTGATAGTTAGGACGACCAATAGGCATTACACTTATAAACAATTATCTTAAGATACTGGATGAATATATCCTAACAGTTTTATAGTGTTTTTTTCGGATACAGTGTCTAAATATTAATTCGTTTGCTGTTTGCTTCTAATTCACAGAGCAATATACTTTCTAATCCTCCACTCTTCCTTTCGCTTTGAGGATTCCAAATTAAGATTTGCGTAATTTACACAATGTATGTCCTATTCACTTCCAGCGTCTTTTCGTAATTTCTTCAACAGTTGGAAAAAAGTTTTTATCAGCCAGTTTATTAATTAGTGTTTCTAACATCTTCCAACTTATAGAGGCCTCATATTATCTTGAGAGTTTTACGACCAAAGACTAGTATAGAGAGAGCTGATTTCAGTAGATTTACTCATCTTTTATAAGTTTCGCCACAGATTGTGCACGTTAGATGAAAGCAAACAAGTTATTTTCACATCGTCATCAAGAAAACCTGTCATTAGAATCATTTATATCAATGAAACTTCGAGTGATATGGTTCAGAGAAATGAGAAGACATATTTTGTGAGAATGTACCATTTCGTGCTTTCTCGTCCTTTGTTTACCATGGTTCTAGTGAGTGAATGTCATGCTAAATAAGAAATTTTGATCTTATCTTCAAAACTGTATTTACACAAATAACATGTTGCTTGTATGTGACTGACGAGAAAGCACGAAATGGTACTATCTCACAAAATATGTCTTCTTATTTCTCTATTCAAATTTATCAAAGGGAACCACTGTTTTGACATGGTTCATTCAGAATCATGTGCAACGGTTAGGCAAGCGTTTTAATTACCGAAAATCCTACAATCCTATCCAAACATCACTGATTTTTCACAATACGTATGATGATGCTACCATTTTCAGTGATAAGATTTTTCTGAGTAATTTTTATCTTGCTGTTTAGAAGTGTCGAAGCAATTAAAGTCAACGATTCCAAGCTGTATATAACTGACCGACTAGACTATATAGGGACGTCCTCTATAGCCACTGACAGGAAATTCGTACTTGCTACTTTCTTGCGGCAGAGGATGAAAACCGAATGACCAACAAGGTCTACAAACTGCTTGATAGGTGGTATGAAGGATTCAACTAGAGGAATAGGAGAAGCCTCAACTCAAAGCCATTGGTATACACAGTCTCTACAATCCTGATGGAACGAATCATGTACAAACCTATTGTTGGTCACCGGCGATCATGGGACTGGACCCGCTGACGTCAGTTCACTGTCTTATGGATTAGACTTTTAAGTCAAACAGTTGGGGAGTAGCTTCCATTCAGTTAAGACAGGCGGGCAGTATCCCCGACCACACAAATTGAATTTGTAGGTGGCATCAATATTTAGGTGGCTTTTTGTACCAATGTTTAATGTGGTTAGATAATCAACAACAGTCCTTATTGGCAATTAATAGTGAAAACAATTCATCATAATTAATTAATTAATTAATTTAACATTTGAATGAAATTATTCACTGTGTTGCTTTTTTTACCTGCATTAATAATAATCCGACAATAAATGCTGAACCTTGACAATAGCCTACTTCTGGATCATGAATGGAATAAGCTTTGATAACACGAAATAAACTTTCTTGACCACAACCATTCTATGGAAATAAAATACAGATATGCAAAATGTGTATAGATATATATGTAGATGCAGATTAAAAGTACAGATTAACATAATTGAGCGCATAAAGGAATAAAATAACATTCATGCAGTGGTAGACATAAACTCCACCTGGAGCTCTCCTGGGGTTACTGACTTTCTCCGCCCCGGATATAAAGGAGGAGCGTTGGGAATAAGGGTTATTAACGACTTCATCCCGTAGAAATCCAACTACAACTAGTGAACTCAGCGAATAAAAATTGGTGCGAATTTTTGTAAATTCTAAGAAAGCACCTAATTTTTTTCAAGGTGGTATGGTTTTGAGATAGTTGTCAGAAAATTCTGAACCGAAGTTTTATGCTAATTATCACAAGTCAAACAAGGCGTACACCTGCAATCGTCTGGAGAGAAATGATGCTACAAGATGGATTTGAACACGCATCAGCCAACTACACAGTTTCACATAATAATACCAGTAAGGTATTCAAGACAAGATTGATCTAGTGTAGGACAGAAATAGTTAAGATCGTTCGATCACTGAATGATGAATAACGTTAAGTGTTAATGCAGCTGTTTACTGTTGGTCGAATCTTGTGGATCGAGTTTGCACTGCGACCACTAGAGCGACATGAAATAGCGTACACGTGTACCTTACTGACAAGTACCAGCTAGTGAGGACTACACACTAACCACCCAACCTTTTAACATAGTATCCACAATGCTGAGTTATCTAGTAAGTAGATTGCAGCTAAACTGGTAGAATTCAGTTGACATTACAGACCTAGGAAGAACATAACAATAAATAACATCAATGACAGTAAGAATGACTTAAACGTCAAAGAATGTTTGGCTGAGAAAGTAAAGAAATAAAATTAAATCTCAACATCAAGAGGATTATTATAGAAATGAATGCATTTGCGCTAGAGTGATAGATTCCGAATTCGATCATTGAAACACCAGCCAGGTGTTGAGTGCAGGTGCATCCATTCGTTGTGCTCTCTCTCAAATCTTAATCTTTTGGATTCGTCAGCACCTCTACGTTTGTCTTTCTAACCTTATCTCACTGAATTATATTTCTTGGATAATATCTTCAAACCCTAGTCTTCTTCATTACCATTAATACCTCTACTATCCTTATCACTATGAGATTTGATATGACATCTGCGTCTTTGTGCTCATGTGGTATGGCAACATGAACTTAGGTACACATGTACAAAGTTCTACGTTGCAATTGACTGACTGACTGACTGACTGACAGGTGTTGAGTGTATTCTCAACTCAAGTCAAACATATCATATGAAATCTAGTAATTGGTACTACCAGTCAAAGAAACGGTGCATTGCAAGTCTAATGCGTAGAAAGTGAAGTAAAACAAGTATGTATTTAATATAAGTAATTTGATGAGTTATACACGATTCATTAGTCAGTTGTAACGTAGGACTTTCTACAGATGTATATCACTTCAAGTTACCATGTCAAATTAGTGTAGTGATATGAAATTGACAAGTCAAATCCCAGAGTATTACAGATAGTACTAGTAGTAGGAGTAGCAGTAATGTAAACGATTAAGGATCAAAGACCTAATTCCAGGGGATGAAAAGCATTGAAAAAAGAGGAAAACGATTTTGATGAATTCAGAACATAAGTTCATGTTGCCATACTACATTAGCACAGAGATGTAATTGTCAGTTCAAATTCCGTAGTGGTAAAGATAGTAGAGGTATTAATGGTATTGAATAAGACTAGGGTTCGAAGATATTATTCAAGAAATATAATTCAGTCAGGTAAGGTTAGAAAGACAAAGGTAGAGGTGCTGACCAATCCAGAAGATTAGGATTTGAGAGAGCTCAGAGAGTGGATGCACCTGCGCCATTGCAAACGATTTTGAACCATGTCGTTCAAGGTCTCTAACCATTGGTTACTTTCGTCTCGCGAACCCCAACCAGGTAGTCTACATCTACCAACATGACTCAGTCCACTAGTCAGTGACTTCATGGATTTCTGCCATGTTTTGGTCTGGCCCCCCTAACTTTCTTCCAACCTACTCCTACACCACAAAACATAGCTCGTCGAGGCAGTCGGTGGTTAGGCATACGTAACACATGTCCCAACCACCTCAACTGATGAAGTTTCACCACTTCATCTATTGATCTGCCATCCTTACCTAGTACTCGTTTCCTAACGACAGCATTGCTCATTTATGATCGAATACTAGTAACCTACGAAAATCTTCTACTCGTAACGGCCATGTTTCACAGCCATATAAGAGAACGGAACGAACTGCTGCGCAGTACACCCGCCCTTTGGTTAGCGAACGGATATCACGCCTACGCCATAAGAGAATCAATCGCACACATCTGCGTTATTGTAAACAATTTCCAACTATATCATTCAAAGTCTCTAAACACTGGTAACGAATATTACGCGAACTTTAACCAGCTAGTATGCACTCATTAAAATGGTTCAGTTCAATTGCGACTGGCTTAAAAGACTAGTTCCATGTTTTGGTTAGGCCACCCCTAGCTTTCTGCCAGCCTCAATCAATCAATCAATCAATAGCGACGTACGTACGTACATCAGTTCATGTTGTCATACCACATTATCACAGAGACGCAATTGTCAATTCAAATCCCATCGTAGTAGATGTAATAAAGGTATTAGAAGTAATCGGAGAGATAACGGTCCGAAGATATAATTCAGTGAAATAAACTTAAAAAGAACAAGTTTACAATTTCAGAGAACACAAAAGAATGAATGCACCTGAGCCATAGAACGAACCGAACTACTACGTAGTACACTCGTCCATTAATCAGCCTATACCATAAGTGACACAGGTTAGCAAAAATTCAGCCAGCCTATCTCATATCACATGGATTCCCACAAGATACTAACAAAATAAAAAAATATGAATTCAACATGAACACAGTAAATCCCATTTTTTTTTCAAAACAAACAACATTCAAGATGATTAGGGAAAGAAAAAAAAAATAGGTAATCAACTTACTTCATCTTTAAATAGATCATGTTTAGGGAAGGTACGTGCAATATCACGTCGGATAGCTTTTTCAACTGGTGAATCAATTAACAAATAATTATAATATTGTTTTTTCACTGTCGAGTCATAAGCACCAGAATATAATTGCCATACTAATGGACGTAATTCATCTGGTACACCCTTTTTAATAAGATCCTACAACAGTATTATAACAAAACACACACACACACACACACATGAATATTTTATTACAGTGTTTTTTTAAAAAAAGATTTGTTTTAAAAAATTTTATTCACATCAATGATTGATATCAGTTAGATAAGTAATTTTTATCGTGTTTCAAACTTTTGTCTAGTGTTCCACTGGCAACAAGAGATCTGACAATCATAGAGTATACGCTACCCGACCGTAGCTGCTACCTTGACGTGGTGGTCGGGCTTGCCTATCGTCATCACCCAACCGAGCTATACTGGCTGGAACATATGTTCCTGCAGGTCCTACCATGCCAGGCAGGTCAATTGGAGAACGATGAGACTAAAAGCAGCTACCAAAGGTCTGAGGGCGAAGTCGTACTGCTGACTGACTGCAGAGGGGTGTGACAGCAGTAAGGTGTTTTCCTCGGACAACCAGCATCTGTAGCGATGCTGCCTTCTCACAATGAAGGAAGGGTTAGAAGAGGTCGACCCTAAAATAGTCACACCTCCCCTACCTCACGGATTTCCGTCTCACTGGGTAAGGGTGCCCACTAAGGGCCTTTAAGAACGGAGCTAATCCTCTAAATATCTTTCCTAAAAAGGCCGTGCGTGACCGGCCTCAACCAGTTGTCCCTTGGGTTCTGCGGTCACGCACCAACACTAATCCATCTTCCTTTTCAGGTCCCTCAAGAAACAACCTTCCACGGTGTGGGCAGCCGGGAAGTGACAACCGCCCTCATACCCGTATGTGGGGAGTGAGTTAGGAATGGATCATCTCGAGGAAGAGTGCTGCGCTACAATGATGAACTAGGCTTAAAGAATATTTCTTAGTTTTTGGTGGTTCATTATTCTTCATCATCAACAGCAACGTAGAACTTTGCACGCAAGTACAGCAGTTCACGTTGTCTTAAACACATTAGCACAGAAATATAATTTTCAATTCAAATCCCATAGTAGTAGAGGTAGTAAAAGTATTAGGAGTAATCGGAGAGATTAAAGTTCGAAGATATTATTGAAGAAGTTTAATTCAGTGAGGTAAATTTAGAAAGAGAAAGGTAGAGGTGATGAGGAATCAAGAAGGTTAGAATTTCATAGAACACAAAGAATAAATGCACCTGCGCCATTGCAAACGGTTTTGAGCAATGTCACTCAGGGTCTCTAACCATTGATTATTATCATCTCGCGGACCCCAACCAGGTAGTCGACACCTACCAACATGATTCAGTTCACTTGTCAGTGACTTCATGGATTTGTGCCATATTTTGGTTTAGCCGCCCCAAGCTTTAGTCCAAGCTATTCCTATATCGGAAAACATAGATCTGAGTGGTTCTTTAGCTGAATACAACCATCAAAATGAATAAACTATACAGATACACTAGTTCATAAATTTCTTTTGATTACACTGAGCATTTTGTCTGTAAAAATTTATATTAATTAACGCGATCAAAAAAGAGATAATTCACAGTGATTTTGAAGTAAATACGGACTTTATGATTTAATTTTTACTTGCTTACACCTGTTAACCCCAACGAAGTATAAGCCATCGACCAGATATGTAAAAGATTTTACATTTTTCAAAGTCTCATAGTTAATTGTGATTTGGTTGGCACATGTTGTGTTGCTGCTGCTGCTACACTGGTCGTCTTTTCTTCCATTTTTATTGTTGAGTGTAGAGTATCTATATCAGTACCTTAGTAAATCATGTTATCATTTAACCTCTTGACCACCGACCCGGCATCGAATGGATGAGATCACACAACACTGTGCATTGATTGAGGTTAAACATTATCACTATCGAATGTTGGTTCAGTGGTCCAGATGTTAAGTGATCGCACGCGTTCGATTCTCTTTAGACTTTAACAGCAGGAACTATCAAGGAAGCATGCGTCTCAAATACATGAGAAGTGTCCACCACTGATTGGATAGATCAGCAGTGCGATGACTCAGTCTTAAGGTGATAGATTTTAACAATCAGTTTTAATTCATCCTCTATTACATCCGGTTTCAACAGCCACCGGGTAGTATCACTCTATTGAGACTGATAAATTTCAGTGGTGGATAACTTTATCAGCCAGTTTGGTAACAAAATGTAAGACTGGTTAAAAACGATTCATTTAGAACGATTTTATTGACCTATTATAACTCATTGAATACAATGCTAAATAAACATTTTGAAAACGTTTCTCATGAAGAAATACTAATTTTAGCAACCTACAGAAACATAAGATTTCTTTTTACAACATTGATCCCAATTATTTATTACGTAGTCCCATTGTTCACGAACAGAACAACTGACTGGTGCTCCAGTAGTCCAACCAATCATTAGAGGAATTGAAACTCCAGAAGTGTTACTCAATCTTGATGTTCCATGTGTTGTGTGACCATTAAGTTGTAGTGAAGATGTCCCGTTGCCTAATATAATAGGAAAGGACAATAAAAATATCAGAATTCAGGTTGCACAATTTATACAGAATACGAGATAAAATACTATAATTCAACAAACAACTACAGATTTAAGTACTAAATTAATCTACTCTACCGTGTACACATATACACATGTACATACACACGTACACACATATAGCATAGTTAATTTTGTCCGATTGTTAATGAAACAAAGAACATAAAATAAAAGGTTTAAACTGTTTTTATAGCAAAATATTAAATTCATGTTGGGAAATTTAACGCGAACTAAGTAAGCAGAAATGTTTTGATCGTAAATTCGAAGTTCCTAAACACGGAGCATAGAGAGTTGCATTCAATGGTCTAGAATGCTCACCTTGAATGGATAGTTCTCAAAGTTACTTCAAACTCTTCTACAACATATCCACAAATTTCACATTACAATAATAGTTATCGAAGTCCTAGTAAACTATTTATGCTTTCATTGTTTTTTCAATCGTCAGTTTAGGGAAAATTAATCAGATTAATAGAAATTACTATTTCTGTGCTATTAAGTTACGTTGTCAAAATGCATGCCTGATTATCATATACGTAACGCAATATCCTCGGTGGCCAAACAAGTAACGTAAAAGGTTACAATGTATGAGAAAACAATAGCGCCATAAAACCAATAATAAGAACCATGATGGGACATTACAATAACACATCTACCAATAATAGACATCATTTCATGCTGCATAATCACACAAATTTTTCCGTTAAGTTTAGTGTATTTTGTTGGTGAGCAATTTTTTAATTCGTAATGTCTTCAGATTTTAAATTGACATTTTTATCTAAAATAGTTTAAAGATAATGCCAGTTAAGCGTATGATAAGCTTGAAAGTAAAAAATTTCAGGACACTTGTTTAAAATTTGCTCAGATGTTTACCAACAGAAACTCAGAAATTCAAATCAGGATAATAAAAAACAGAATTTCGAGATTGAAGTAAGCAAGGAATTTTTTAGTAACACTCTTACTTCGTACATCATCTTGTCCAGATCCCGTGGAAATACTACTCGATAATGAGCCTTCTCGTCGACGAGTATGCAGAGATGGGATAACTTTAGCATCTGAAAAAAGAGCTCTGAGGATTAACAAAACATTAGTGTATGTAAAATAGTACCTATTTTTTTCCTCAAGTTTGGCTAGGAGTTCCAATTCCGATTGTTTTTCACATTCCATTTTAATGAAACATCTAATTCAACATCAGTACGTAGTTTGATAAATTTTCAGACAGGATTTCAATCGGTGACACCAGTGAAATGGGAATTAATATAAATTTTAAGTATCTGTTGAAAATATCTTCTAGTTAAACAAGCGTTTGAACGTTGGTCACTGAATATAACGGAGAGGAGTCAATTTGAAATAAAATCAATTCTTCCGTCTAGCCATTTATTCGTCTAGATGTTAAATTCTGCTCTGTAAGAGAGTACAAGTGAGAACTCCGAGCATAAAACAGTAGGCATGCAATAGTAATTTCAATCATTTATAACGAATAGAAATGATTGACCTTATTTGACGTGATTGTCAAAAGTTAATTTTTTTAATTCAGATATACCACTGAAAGAAAACAACTTCAATTATCAAGGCAAATAGTAATTTAAGGACTATTACACTATAACAATAGTCTCCTGGGATCAGATACCATCCTGCAGAACCTATTGCTACCGCTTTCCACGAACATTGCTTGAATCTCTTTTCGCTAATAAAATTAGTGGTAACTGGTGTTCACAACAACGCTTGTGATAGCAGAAATTCAGGACACATACATGCAGATACGTTGAAATGAGTAGTCGAACTCACAATCAAATAAAGATCACTGCAAGTGAAGTACCTTCGTAAATTATCAACGTTATGCGACATTCTTTTGAAGGAGCACACTGGAAAATCCTGTATGGAGGACAGCTTAGAGAGTCATTCGGAGTGAAGATCACTGTCAACAACGACTGCATGTTATCACCCTTTCTATTTCATCTGGTGGTTGACTGAAACATGAAAACCTCGACAGTAGACAGCTTGAACACTACTAGACACTTGTACTCTAAGTCCGGGAACGTGTCATTTATTCACAGATTGGACTTTCTGTCACGTTACGTTTACATAATTTATAGAAACTTTGCTATCAGCAAATCGAGTTTTGTTACATGCACGGTTAGCTTACTTGTATTTAGCTCTCGCTAGGTATTGCTTAGAAGTAAACCTACCTAACACGAAGGATGATAAGTTACTTACAATTTAGCGCCAGTCACATAGCTGAAAACATCACACCTCTTACCTTACTGTTTTCTGTACATCGTCTCTGATTAGGATACACTGAACATTTCATCATGAGCTTGAAACATATTATGAACCCCAAAGTCAATATAAGACAGCTCTCACGAGCTGTTGTTTAAGGTTAACAATATTCAGCACAGAGATAAACATTGAAGATATGAATATGAAAAGCTTATGGTATGGATATCGAAAGATAACAACGATCGTGAATCGTGTAGCCCAGAAAAATCAAAAGCAAGGGTAAAAACAGGATAGTAGTAGAAAAAACGATGTCGATGTACTCACACGCAAACCGAAATTCATGTTCATGTATCCGTGTCTATTGAAGATTTGTTGACCGTAACGCACATGTTTGTAAACTAGTGACTGAGATTCCAATATCCAATATCTCTTTCATGAACCAGTAAGATCCAGTTTATTTCTTTGCTTCCGATTCTTGTTCTACCGGTATGGTTTCAGGTGTTTGATAGTGTTCAATGAATGGAGGTCTAGCCACTCGACTGTCTAATTCTAGTCATTTGGCAGTTGTTTGTGAGTTTGTATGTCTCGTAATCTAAATGAATAGGTTTGTTTCAGGGAAGTGAGGTGTCTGGATGTCAGCAGCTATCTCATTATCAGACTGAAGATCAGTAAGTTGCAATGAGGAGAATAATAAGTATAATCTTCTAATGCTAATAGGAATAAGATTTCAGAATCAAGCAAATAAATAGATAATTTAATTTATGAATTGTTATTGAAGATTGTGCGAGATTGAGCAGGTAAAACATTCGTATCTTCGAAATATTCGGATTTTTCGACACTCTGAAGTCCTAGTGCAGAATAAGACACGGATTCCGGACTAAAGATCCTGGTTATAGTCCGGTCGATAGAAGTTACAGATAATGCGTATTGATACATTTAGGTCGAATAAGAAATAGCATCGAAGTATGTGAAATTGACAGTTACGACGAAAAATAGGAAACAACATTTTAGTCACACTGGCAGTCAGAGCGACCGATAAGAAACAGCATTGGATTACGTGACAATAAAATCCAGGACGACCGTAAAATCGGCCAGTCGGAATCAGCCAATAAGAATTGACCAATAATTCTCTTGGAATATTTGATGATAATGTGATGCTGTATATTTATATTTATGATGAATATTAGAACCGTCGTTTACCCACTCTCTTGTTTTGGTTTCAACCCGGCAAGGCGCATACCTAAACTACCTTGGCAGTGATTCCTTAGTCAAAACTTGAGTTTTAAAAAAATACCAATAGTTAGAAGTTGTTTGTCTGACGTTCCGTGAATTTCGTTCATCGTTTCTGAAGATATTTTTGTGCCTCGATCGTGATGCCGAAAACTCGTCAAGTGAAGTCATGCCCAAGGTTCGTTTGGGCTCATGGAGCGAAACTGAATGATGGATTCCCTGTTATAAAGCGAGTGCCTTTTGATGTCCTTATGTGTCGTGGATGACACTGAAATACGGATAATTATCATGATAGTGATTCTAATCATTAGTTGTTGTTAGAGGGTATGAAAAATCTTAGTTAACATGAAAAGCTTGAAGTATCTGAAAATAATGTAACGCCTATAGTGTCTGTTGTAGTTCTAGAACTACCAAAGGTTCAGTTGAATTATTTCGATGGACTGCCAAGAGGTTATTGGAAGTTTGTGAGGCAGTTGGAGACTTACGCAAAATCCAGAGTCGGTGACGATAGCCAGTTGTATACTACTGTAAGGGTTAGGTAAGATCAGCCACTGGGGTTTGTGTCATGATGAAAGCCTCTATTAATTATAAGAGGGCTAGGGGAATTTCGAAATGATTGTTCAGTGAGTCGCAAGTATTATCCCGAGAAACACTAAAAGATTTATTCAATCCTGTGAATGTTGATTATAATGACGCAGAGCAGCTATCGAACTTGGCCATAAGAATTGAAAATTGTGCCACGGTCTTGGAACAAAAGAATTATACTGCGTAACTGAACTCTTTGGTTACCTTCTAGAGAATAGTGTGGCTTTTGCCTCGACCCATGCAACTTGCGATTGGGACAGCGGAATTCTTTGACCGTAAAAGCTTAATGTACAGTCTGTTCTGATGACCACGATATTTATAAATGTTCCCGATCTTTAGCGCTCACAGTTCAAGATAGTTGGTCTCAAGCAAAGAACAAGGGTATATGATTCGTCTGTTTTAGGCAAGGGCATAAGGTTGATGAATAAAAACTGACAAGTGTGGGAAAAAACATCATGCTCTGCTGCACGAGGAATAAACCATCAATAGCTTTTATGACAAACATGATACACGGAATCGTTGTGGATTTACTAGATCACTAAGCAGTCAAGTATGCTAAGGAATGATCCCCAAACGATTTAGATTTGGAAATTCCGAAACTGTAGCATACGCTCTTTTGGATGACAACATAGATAAGGTAAGATTGTTTGAAGTCTCTAGGGCTGAAGAAAGACCAAGAGTCAGTGGTAGTTCAGAATGTAGGGAGTTACGAATGCATCTTTTGAGGTATATTGATCAGATCGGTCTGAACATGCAGTTGGACCAGCTGTCAGGTGGAAGGAAAGATCTATATGCTGTGAAAATGTTGCTATGATGCATCATACCCGGAATTAAGCGCAAGAGTTATTAATCATACTAGTAAAGTACAGCCCTTGGAGGACCGAATATGTAAGCTTTGTGGTGTGAAGTTTGTTGATGTCTAATACAAAGGCAAATCAGTATCTGTAGAAAACAAGGCGGTCATAGTGATCGTGGAAAGTGGCACGCGCTTCGGCACTCGTCAATTTGCAGTTACGATACCATAGAATCAGAATCCAGACCCAAAGTTGGTGATTTATGAAGTAGCAAACAGTAGATTACAGAGTTTTTAGCGTAGGTTGCAGAACCCACCCTGACAAAACCGAGTGTAGAAAACCTGCTGCGGTTAACTGGAGTAGTATAAAATATAACCAGTCGCCCATTCTTTCATTCTTCTCGAAATACATGAAATTAATCAGAGATTTAGCTTGGTTTAGAAGATTCATAGAATTCCTGATGGTACTTCCTTCCCCAAGACATGAAGGTTCCGTTCATCTAAGGTGTCCAAAGGTCAAGGAGCTTGAAATGGCGAGGCGTAAAGTTTTAATGATGGTCCAGAAAGAGGTGTATAGAGATTTACTTAGTGAATTCAAGAACAACAGTAAAGTAGCTAGTCAAATTGATCTGAGGGGCTTATCGCCGATAATACTTGATCGGTTAGTCTGTGTTGTAGGTCACCTAACCTACTCCAATTTACCGAATGAATTCAAACACCCAATAACTTTATCCAGACTACATTGGGTCCTTTTCAGTCAAATGAGGAAGGTCATTGGAAAAAAGATATGGATGTGTATTTGCTTGTTCTCAGACAGGAGCAGTACGCATAGTTTGAATACTGATTCATGTAAAATGGCCTTACTACGTTTTATCGGAAGAAGAGGAAGGCAAACAGAAATATATAGTGACAATGGATCCAACTTCGTGGGTGAAGTCTCAGAACTGAGGAGATTTTTGCAACAGTCGAATCGACAGAAATTAAGTAATGAATATTCTGCGAAGCAGACTCAATAGCGCTTCAAACCTTCCCTATCCAGGCACAGAAATAGATTTAGGGAACGGATGATTAGGTCTATAGGACGACTGTTATTATCGATCATCAGAGAACAGACGTTGACTGATGAGACCTCAGGCACTTATTTGATCAAAATTGTGAGGATATTGAACGAACGACCCTTAACCCAGCCGTCCAGGATGCTAACGACAAGCTAACTTTATTGCCAAATAGTTTGCTGTTGTTAAGAGAATGTGATGCAATAGTCGAAGAAGGTAGCATCAGAGATAAATATGATAAACGTTGGAAACAGGTTAATTATTTAGCTAATGTGTTTTGGAAAAGGTGGTTAAGAGAGCATTTACCGTCCATACAAGCATGTTAAAAATGATTAGTTGAACATCGCAATTTCCGGAAAACAGACGTAGTAATCATGGCCTCGGAGATTTCGGCAAGTGGAAAGTGACCATTAGGAGTATTTGAAAGCTGTGAAACTGATAACAACGGAAAGATTAGGACGGTAGCTGTTCCTACGAATGACAGATTAGTTAGGCGGGATATACGTAAGGTATGTCTCCTCGAAGGTTCGAATTGCTTCTTTGTTATATTTATCTAGAAGCTGAAGTAGGAGTACTGCTGTAAGTCCTACAGGCCCCTCAAGCGTGGATTATGCTGTAGAGTAAACCATGACCAATGCATCGGAGTGACTTTATGTTGTATGGAGGGATTTTGCAGGTGGGTGTAAGATCCATTTTTGAAGGCTTTGTTTGCGAAAATCCCTCCGTGTATATAATAGTAATTTGTTCTTATTAATTCCTTCAGTTGTACATTTTGTTAGTCTGTTTGATCTTATTTTAAATGGTACTATTTGTATTTTATTATACTTTCTATTTCTTTTGCCTTTCTGAATTTCTATGTTTGTTTCTGAACTGCGTTAATGTTGTTTAAGCTGATACTTTGTCATGGCGACAGCCATATTGATTTGTTCCTTTTCTGATTGTGTCGCTTGCAGTGACTGGAATAGTGCATTTTGATAGTAAAACTGGAGCACCCCTTTAAGAATACGAAGCACTCTATATTTTAAAGCGACTGAATATGATCTTTTGAAGGAATCAGATCTATTCAGAAAGGATAGAATAACATTCATTTGTTGCTGTTGATTTGAATAACTGAACAGTTGTTCGTGGAACAAATGTGTTGTGATATTTGTTTCGGTAATGATATATATTTATATTTATGATGAATATTAGAACCGTCGTTTACCCAACCACTTGTTTTGGTTTCAAATGGGCCAGGGGCGTATCTGAACTACCATGACAGTGATTCCTCAGTCCAAACCTCATTTTGGATCCTACAGACTCTTGAGCATAATTATTCAGCTATCATTCTGTCTTCTCTCTTATCGACTACTCGTCACCTCCTGGCTACCCACATCATGGAGAGGTATCTGTTGACTAAATGATAGAAATACGCCATTATCCTGAGAATCATAAGCACTATTCTTCAGGTTGCTAACTGCCTTTCGTCTTATCTTTCATGGTGTTGCTTTCCGAAATAACAATTCACAAAACTATCCAATCATAGATAATCATAGATAAGTGTACTGTTCATTTATTTAACTATTAGTACCCTGAGCTCTTGTCGAAATTTCATTATTAGAGTGAGAACAAGCAATCATACTCATTGCTTGTTAACGATTCTGTGTAATAGTTAATAAATGAAGAATTTTATAAGGCAGAAGACTAATTATTATCAGGAGTTCTTCGCTTTGTGGTAATCAAAACATTC